ATCATCTTTGTGTGGTTAAATCTTCAAAGTCAAACCGTCACGCCTCTTGGAGTGACCACATGATTCAGGAAAGAACGAAGTTCTGCTTTTGAAAGAGGAGATGTTTTTTACACGCGCCTCAGATGGTGAGATAAAAGTCGTCTTTATCTTATATTAGATTGTAACAAACTGTTACGGCCTTTTAAAAACACCAGATGTGATCAGAGCATTTCATTCATGCTGAGTCTAATAATAAATAAAGAAACCTTGTGACTCTTACTTACAAATGTGCACAAAGAGAGGAAGAGTCTTCAGTCCACTGAGAGCTGAATGGGATTAAGATTGACAAAGGGCCCAGAGGATCTTTGAGGAGTGTCCTAGATTTCCTCTCTGCTTCATGCAGCAGTCATCTTTTGTTCCCGGGAATCCGCCTTGGACCACACACGCATGTGCACACCAACACACACACACACACACACACATCAAATCAACCACTTGCCACTCTGCTTTTATTAGTAACCTCACTTCCTCGGGGCAAGGCCGTTATTTTTTTCTGTTTTGTTTTCCTCCTGCTGGCTCTGAGTTTATTATCTGCTGCAGAGTCAAAACCAGTATAACTGTGGTCTGAAATCAAGGCTGTGGGCGGGGCTTACTTGTATCCATGTACACACACACACACACACACACACACACACACACACACACAAATGGACAACTTGCGTCAGTGAAGTGGAGTTAAAAAAACAACACATCATGACAAGTGAATCAAGCAGGTTCAGTGCGCGATGTTAAGTGGTTAACCAGATTTGCGGTTAAGGTGGTTATTAACAGCCAATGAATGAGCAGAAAAGGTGTTGACTAACCGGTGTTTTCTCCCCAGTTGGCTTACCTCAGGGAGCAGAGCAGCCAGAAGAGAGGGCTGGCGGATGGAACGAGCGAGGTCAACCACAACTCTGAAAACACGCCGAGCACTAACGGCAAGGTACGCTCGCAGTGTGTGTAACAAGTGTCAAGCATCTGTTCACATAAAGGATTTAAAAATAATGTCTATGATGGAGGATATATGCTGTTTTATTTACTCTTATATTATCACATGTTGTAAAGGGAATGCTGTGTACAGTCAATAAGCTTTAAGCTGGCGACTGACGAGACACTTTGCAAATCTTAACTGATTTTAAAAACATGGAGGGAACAGACATGAGGACAGTTTCAAGTGATTTTTTAACATTTTTAATCCTCGAATGCACAAACTAGAGGACTCGGCCAGACCACGACCACACATTTGCTGTTTGTAGAAATGATTCCACAGACACGAGATCTCACAGAAACTCGCTTGATCAAACGTGACTTCAGAAGAAAAACAAACATGGAGGATGATAGACCTGGTCAGCTGGCTGTCCTGCTGTGTGTTTTGCAATAAAGAAAAACAATACGGATGAACTCTGACAAGATAGAGTATGTGCAGCTTTATATAATTTGCAGATATTGCAGAATATCAAACATGTCAACAAGAGCGATCTCTGACTCGATCTGGAGCAGTAAAATAGTCACTTGAGGGTTATTAGGACAGAAAATCTGATACAATAAGCCTTTAATCAGGCCACGCCCCCCAAGGCGTTGTGGGGAGCATATCATGCCCAAAACCATCCAGAATGTGTGGTCAGTTTAAGATGTAAACTTCAATCCTGCATTAGTGCTTTCTCTATTTCCCTCCTGTCTTCCATTTATTGAGGACACTTGAACCTTTCTGCCCCGGCATGTTATGATTAGCTGTGCCTTACTCTGCCCTCTGCATACATGCACAGACAAGATGCAAATAGGTGAAGAGGAGGAGGGAGGGCTGGAAACAGTCCAGGTTCCTGCTCGCTGACAGCGGGACCTGCAGTGCGTCTCTGCTTAAGATAATAAGACATCAATCAGTCAGCGCAGGAGGAACAGCTTAGACGTAGCTGCTTTTATTACGGGACTGATAGCGTAGGTATAACGGGCTTGATCGTGATGCAAAATGACATCACGCCAACGGGGGTGACGTCAAGTTAATGAGATGTTTGAGGTGAACAGCTTAGATCAGAGGGAACACTTCATGAACAACAAAGAAACTAAAGAATTCATTGATGAAGAAATGTGGTCTGTGCGAAGATAATTTAGTCCTGAAACATCAAAAAAGAGGAGAGAGATGTGGAACAAACAGCTAGAGACGATGTCCTCAAACGTCTTATTTTGATTCAGTTTACAGTCCGTCACCTACACAGATCAGCAGACGAGATCTCCTTTAAACCTTCCTCCTTTCTTGCTTGTTGATGCATGAGGTCTCCTCTTGCCGAAGTCCTCTCTGCAGTTGACAAAGTGTCTTAGTTTGTATTTTTGCAGACTTCAATGTTATATCTGGAGTGTTTTTAGATATTTGTGTATTTCATACATCTTGAAGGTTTCTACGTCTATGAAACATAATGACCTGTTAAGGTTTTGAAATTGGGTCATGAGTAAAGTGCATAATGTCTGTGTTTTGGAGCTTCTTAAGTATCAAACTTAATTAAAGTTAAATAATAATGTCTTGGATCTCACCGGGACGCTTTGTAGCCACTAGCAGGATTGTTTCAATTTGGTCAAAGAGTTAAACCAAGAGTTTATTTGTGTTTTTATTTGACTGATGTTAAATGAATCCTCTCTGTGCATTCTTTAACTTCATGTGTGAATTCCCCTGTAGCGTTCCTCGGACGGTTCCCTGAGTCAGGACGAGGAGTCGGGACTCGGGTTCGGGAAGGTCGGTGAGCTGCAGGATGTGGTGGAGCGTCAGACGGCCGATCTCGGCCAGATGAAGGAGCGCATGGCTGCCATGGTCTCACGCATCAACGAGCTGGAGGAGGACCTGGACACGGCCAGGAAGGACCTCATCAAGTCTGAAGACGTGAACACGCGGTTACAGAGAGACCTGAGAGAGGTGGGTGTGTCGTCTGCTTTGTTGTCTTCATCAAAGTGACGAGACTGATGAAGAGACTAGAACGATGCTTTACAACGTCCCCTCTTTGTTGTGTTAGCATCCAGTGAACCTTACCATTGTTACGTTTCTCAGTGGGGCTAAAGTAAGAGGACAGACTGTCAGGGTCAAGGTCACACTGATACCATATACACTAATGTAAATGTTGCTCTGTGTGTGTGTGTGTGCGTGTAGTCGATGGCTCAGAAGGAGGACATGGAGGAGAGGATCACCACCCTGGAGAAGCGTTACCTGGCAGCTCAGCGGGAGGCTACCTCCGTCCACGACCTCAACGACAAGCTGGAGAACGAAGTGGCCAACAAGGATTCTCTCTTCAGACAAGTACGCCCCCTTTGACTCTTTCATAGAATCACTGTCGACATCCACACCTGTGTACAATTCACCTCCAATATCCACGCTGCAGCTGTGTCTTTAAGCAACCAAGAAGGAGATGTTGGGAGACGTTTGCTGACCCTGTTTTTATTTAAAAACGACCCCTGAGATGTGTTTTGGAAATCATGACACAGATGTCCTCTTCAGTTTCCTTTTATGATCTCATATTTCATAAAGTCTCCTTCCCTGATGAATCACGCCCCGATCACTTGACCAGTTTCTGCAGGAGAATAAACACCAACAACACTCAGCTCTGACCAGCACCGCTTCATTCTGAATCAATCTATTAAAACAAACTGATATCTGCCTAATATGCAGAACAGCTGACGAGAACGGCGTTAAAAAGCGCACAGTTGTTCAGTTGTTTCCGCCGAGTAGAGAGCGTTTTAAGCCAAATATAAAACATGCAGTAAAAAGTAACGAAGCAGTGACGGTCGTACAGCGGCCGTTATCGACAGACTGTTGTCATAGAGACAGGACGGATGTGCAGCACTTTTATTCTCAGTGTACGCTTCATGCAAACACTCCTGAGTGCACAGTCAGCAATTTCCGGCCTGGAAAAAATGCCAGGTGGGACACGGTGCCTTATTGCTTACCTGAATAACTGCTAGGGCTAAAAATTCCTCGGACTATATTGTTGTCGTCGTCATTGTGCAATGAAGCTCAGCATTTTTTAAAGCCTTGAAATCTTGAAAAAATGAAATCATTGCACCACTTTGGAAACCCCAATTAGTCCCAATTTTTTGGTTTGCTATTTAGATTTACTGCTATGATTAGTTACCAACTTCAGCAGGAGTTGTGCTATTTTCTGGTGATTCCTGCGTCCGGTGGTGTTATCAGCCCTACAAGGAGCGCTGCTGGCCGTTTTGGCTGAGAACACCAGTGCATGTTTAGTGTGCTGGTGTTTGTGCGCCCCCTGTCCCCCATCAACAGTATAGGACTTAACAGTGTTTACGCTGGCACACGCATGAGAAGTTTTTGGAGGGTCATGTATTAGACTGTTCAGGCTTCTAACTGTGGATGGAGAGAAACGGATCCAGAGGGGCGCAAAGAGTATGCTGTCATGCTCAAACTTGGATTGGATGAGTCCTGGTTGATTTTGGCGTGGGAGTCTCAGCGTTGGTCTGCCAGCAGGAGTCGTCTGCAGTTCTGGTTGCCAGTTTCCAAACCCCTGCTAATGAATTCCTGCTGTATTCACGCTCTGACCGGCGCAGCGGGCTGTGAATGGGACGCCTCAAAGACACTGGCTTGTTTCTATACATGTACTCGCTCAGATGGAGATGTCACTCTCTTCTTTCTCATGGGGGTTTTTGTCACTCTTTGTGTCAATATGAATGCTCTCATCCTAACTTCCTGGATACCCCACCCTTGCACATCCCCTCTCCCTTTGTCTCTCCCCGACCAAATGCACAAGTCCTCGCCTTTCTCTGTTTCTCTCTTAACCTTGGTGAGCTCCAAACGAAGTATGCAGCACAGACACGTCTTTAACCATCACGCTAACGACTGTTTGCTCTTGGGTTTTGTTTGTTTTTTAGACCGAGGACAGAAACCGGCAGCTCCAAGAGAAACTGGAGCTGGCTGAGCAGAAGCTGCAGCAGACCATCCGCAAGGCCGAGACTCTGCCTGAGGTGGAGGCCGAGCTAGCCCAGAGGGTAGCTGCTCTCACCAAGGTAAAAGCACCTGTCCTCTTCCACCTCTGTTCTCAAACCCACATTTTACTTTCAGGATTCTATGAAACAGATTCAAAAGTGAGCCGGAGTACTTCCCTTACATCCGAACAACCTCGAGCTCCCCGCGGAAGCTGCTGAGGAGGCCATTGTTTATGTTGCTCCAAATATCCACAGGGACCTATTTTTAGAGGTCTGCCTCATGTTTTTATCCATTTATAGTTTGAGTCTTTGTCTTGGACAACACGCTGCCGCTGAACCTACACGGGCAATTCAACGCCTTATTAGTATTGGAACTGGCTCGCAGTGCAACTTGTTTGATGAATTCTCATTATTGCACAGATTCTCCCACCTCTTTCATCCTCCCTTTGATGTAACATGCATGTGCATATCATCTTCTTGTCTACCTGTTCCACACTGAGTTATGTCTATGATGTCATGCTCTGTCCGTTATCTGTCTCCACTCATTACATTGAATTGTGCAGATGTGTTTTCACCGCCGTCTCACATCTGTCTGTCTCTCTGTCATGCTCTGTTTCAAACCTGTAGTGTGTTCTGTGTGGCTCTAAAGGCACTAAGACTCTGAAGAAGGTAGATCAGTTCTACTCACCCAGATAAACTTGTCCTCCAGGAAACTAGAAAGACTCTCACTCCTCTCTTAGTCCGTCACTGAAACACAACCAGGCTGATAGACTGTGACGTCAGTATTCACAACAAACAGGATGTAAATAAAGTGAATCTTTACATTCCTGGTTAAGTCAGTGGCAGACTAAAGACATGTTGACCTGACCTCCTCTCTCTGTCTGTGTGTGTGTGTGTGTGTGTGTGTGTGTGTGGCTTCATGTGCTGGTGAGCTTTCCGTTCTTGTTCGGTATCTAACACAAACAGGAAGTGCCAGCTGATTTGTTCAAAGACCTGCGGAGACCCCGCCCGTTAGAGGCACTAAAACTGGAACAGGCTGTGCACCAGGAAAAAATGTTAACATCTCTTCCATAGATAAGAAGCAATAAGCTGGTTACACACGCTGATTGTGTTTTCACCACACCAGGAAATATTAAAGTAACTGTTCTTTCACGAGGCACTGATGATTATTAAGGCCTGTAGCGGTGGTAGATTTGCATTCTGGGAAATCCGGGCTGTTGTGTTTGGTTTAGTCTTTCTGTGGAGTTATAATCGCTTCATCCTTCTGTAGCTGCTGTAGCTTCTCGCCCTCTAGTGAGTAGTTTATGTATACGTAGACACTTTCTTTAAAAGCTCTTCAGGTTGTTTTGACCCCCATCCTTTTGAAGGACTAAAACCTCAAACGGGGTCGAGCTCAGGCCGCTCCTCAGCGAGCTCCTTCTCCAGGATGGATGACAAAACACCTGAAGGGGGGAAGAGCAGAGTCCAGCACTTAGCGACGCTTTCATTAGAGGATTGTGTTACCTTGCACTCTTTGATACCTTAGTGCAGAAAAGATGTAAGTGTCTCCTTTTATTTTTCTCCGTCTTCAGGCGGAGGAACGTCATGGCAACGTGGAGGAGAGGCTGAGGCAGCTGGAGGCCCAGCTGGAGGAGAAGAACCAGGAGCTGCTCAGGGTGAGAAATCTGCCGTCGCCTCTTATCACCTGCTTCTAATTCATCGTCCTGATGACGGGGTGGCACTGATCATCTCTGGTGGCAATGTTTTTATATTCCCAGGCCCCTTCTGTGGCCTCTTAGCGATGTGTTTCAGAGCAACATATTGTTAGCATTACGCCAAGCGACAGTCGGCCTTGATTACTGCTACACTCAAAACGTTTTATTATCTAATTTCTGGTCCAAAAAAAAAAAATGAAATCAGGCTTGTTTTAATCCAGATTTCCAAATCTCAAGTCCGTACCAGGACTTGAACCAGCAACCCTCCAGTCAGAGAGTAAAGGCCCAATTTCCTCAAAGCAACTGATCCTGAACATTGGCACAGGGACACCACACACACACACACACACACACACACACACACACACACACACACACACACACACACACACACACACACACACACAAGGGATGGGTGTGAAAACAAGCAGAAAATCAATTCTGTTCCGAAATAAACAACGACGGACAAAAAACTGACTCAGTTTGCGAAGGCCTTAAGCATGACAGGTGCTGACAGAAAGTGACCAGAGGTGCCAACAGGAAGTGACCAGAGGCAGAGCACAACATCATCATCTGAATGTGGGGGAAGAGATATTAATGACGAGAAATTAGACAAACACGTTCGCTTTCATTTGAGTTTCTGCAGCGCAGTTCTTTGTTGTCAGTTTCGCGTCTCTGGAGCTTCACTGCTATAGACACATTAATAACTCCTCTGCCTTCTTCTTCTTCTTCGATCTGTGCAGGCGCGGCAGAGAGAGAAGATGAACGAGGAGCACAACAAGCGTCTGTCGGAGACGGTGGACAAACTCCTTTCAGAGTCGAACGAGAGGCTTCAGCTTCACCTCAAAGAGAGGATGTCCGCTCTGGAGGATAAGGTGAAGAATGCATGAATGATGAGCCGCGTTGACGTCATGTTTCGTCTGCAACAATAGATGTTTGTTGTTCCTCCACTGTGTGTGTGTGTGTCTCATGACTCTTAGTATGAGATCGCAGTTTATTTCCCAGTCACGCTTTATTTACCAGCTCGTTGTTGTGTCTTCACAGAACTCTCTGATCAGAGAATTGGATCACACCAAGAAGCTGATTGAGGAGTCTCACCATGAGAAGGTAACAACATACGACTTCCATTTAACGCTTCACTGAACTCTCAAAGACGCTTTACAAAGAACAACAACTAAACCAAACAAAGAAGAAATAATGTAAGAGGTCGAGGATGAGAGGAGAGTTTGTTCATGGTTGTAGGTGATAGTGAAGGGGGGGGGGGGGGGGTCTCTGATGGATTTTGGGAGTGCTGAGGGTGGGAGCAGCATTGGAGGAAGCCCTGCCCCCCCCCAGGACAGATAGTTAGTCCTGCAGGATGGGGGGGAGGCAGGCGGTTTGCGTCTGCAGACCTCGGAGTGAGAGTGTGCCGGTGGAGGAGCTCACACAGGTCGGGGGTGTGCCAGCATGTTTCGGCCATGTTGGCATGTTTTGATGAGTCTGTATAAGGCTTTTTAAATAACTCCCCCCCCCCCCCCCCTTCAGGACCTCAGACCTCTTCCATAGCTTCTGAGTTAGATCCCATCACCAAAGAGCAGCAGAGGGACACATTCTTATCACACCCATGCAGCACTCCATGCATCTGCTTTTTGAGCTACAGTCCGTCTTTCTCCCCCGAATGTTCACTGTGTCTGTAAATTCTTTCGTACAGGAGCAGCTCCTGATCCAGATCGAGACCATGAGGGCCGAGAGCGAGCAGGGGAGGAGCCGGAGTAACTCCTTACTACACGGGTAAGTCAGTTCACTCTCACACTTCATGCTTTAAACCTTTGGACCTCTCTGACTCTTTCTGATTGTGTGTGTCTTTGCAGACGCTCTCAGCTGGGCAGCACTCCAGATTTCAGGTATCCGGTGTCGGCCTCCTCCATGATGGACAGTAACTCGGACCACTACGGCAGCGCTCTGGTGCTGAGGCGGCCTCAGAAGGGACGCATGGCAGCGCTCCGGGACGAGCCATCCAAGGTGAGCTCTGTCTTAACAACTGAACTTTCACCTGTTCAGAGTTTAACGAGGGGACTTAATTATTCCTTTGAGATGTTTATTGCCATGAAAATGAAAAATATTGTGATAAATTGAATTCACTTTGTGCGTTGTATCTGTGTGAGCGCCCTTTGAACTTCTCTGCCTGCTTCATTCTGATGTTTGTGTTCTTTCTGATGATGTTCTTCCTCTTCGTTTCTCTCTGTCTGCTTCCACTCTGGACATCAGCGACATGTAAGTCAGTGTGAAGATAACAGTGACCGTTAACCTGAACATGTGTCATGCAGTAAAGAAAAAAAAAAAAAAGCCTTCCCGCCTGCTTTTCTGTCTTTTGATCCTTTTTTTGGTCTGCTTTTAATATCTACTGTACAATCTGGAATATAAGTCGCACCGGTATATAAGGACGTTTACGCATTAGAACCCCCTCCCCAGAAGTAACCATGGCAACCACTCAAGTCCATCCTGCTAACTGTGGATGTTTTTGTTATTTCTGAGACACCAACAACGACCCTCTTCCTACTTCAACATTCGTCATAACGCGGTCCACTTCCTAGTTTGAGCACGGACCGTACTAGAGTATGAATGAATATGAATCTTGAATCAGAATCAGTTTCCCAGAGAGGAAAGAGGTTTAAACTTTCTTTCTGCTTATTGATTGAACGTGCAATTTCTGTGCAGCTGGGTCTTTTAGTAACGCCTATTTTTGTTTTGTGGAATTTGCTTTCCTACTAGCTACAGTACGCTAGTCCGGATCTCAGTCCTTTGTTGATAGGTGGGAAGTACAGACCGCCCCGTGAGTATCTCTGCCCATTGAACATTCCACCACCGTTTGCGTTAAACGAACCTTCTGACCTTACGTGGGAGAAACGTTGTTAAAAAGTGGCGCCCCTAGACTGCTCTGCACCGCTACATATCATATAGCACAGCTTGTAATAAACACTGGCTGGGCGTCAGGTTGTGTGGAAATGTGCGATGATGGCGGCTGCGTACGGGGTAAATGAAGGACGTGTTTCAGGCGTTCATAGAGGTAGACTGACGATGCAGACTACGTTTTAGATTTTAAAAAAGTGCGTCTTGTAGACCAGATTTTACAGTATTGTACTGTCTGAATTCTTCTGGTTTCTTTACATTTCTCAATCCTTTTTCCACTTCCTGTTTCCTGTTTGGTACCTGCATGGATGAATCCAGGTGCAGACTTTGAACGAGCAGGAGTGGGAGCGCATGCAGCAGGCCAACGTGCTGGCCAACGTGGCCCAGGCCTTTGAGAGTGACATGGACGCCTCGGACCTGGAGGAGGATCGAGAGACCATCTTCAGCTCGGTGGACCTGCTGTCCCCCGGTGGCCAGGCGGACGCACAGACCCTCGCCTTAATGCTGCAGGAGCAGCTGGACGCCATCAACAATGAAATAAGGTATCAGCGGCTACACGTCTACCAGAACAAACCCATCGTTTATTTGTTAGTTAACTTTTTCTCTGTGAACACGTTTACCAGGATGATCCAAGAGGAGAAGGAGAGCACCGCCATCCGTGCGGAGGAGATTGAGTGCAGGGTGGGCAGCGGGGAAAGCTTAGGAGGGCGTTTCCGATCGATGAGCTCCATCCCTCCGTCACTGTGTGCCGGATCCTCGTTGGGCGGCTCCCCCCCGGGCTCTGGTCACTCCACCCCCAGGCGCGTCCCCCGCAGCCCCAACAGAGAAATGGACCGCATGGGGGTCATGACCTTGGTAACAATTCCTGACTTTCGTTTGTTTTTTTGGATCCTTAAACTGATCAGCTTGTTGTAGGAAAATAACTTTTTCATAGTATTTCTTTCTGTCTTTATTTAAAGAGGGATTCACTATTATTTTTTTAAACCTGGGACCTTTATTAATATGTTTTGGCATCTGAGTGACGACAGGCTTTAATGGCAGCAACTGTTCCTTACAATGTGTCCTATCATTCCAGCGGACTTCTTTCTCTCTCACTTTCTCTGTCTTTCTGGTTGCATTCACACTACGCAAAGTTGTGAAGCCCGTTAAGTGGATGCTGTCAAAAACATTTTCTAAACTTTTCACCTGCTGTCATTAAGAAACCAAAGTATATTCAAATACGGATCAGGATTCTCCTCTTTAGTTTTTGGTAATCGTGTACATGTCGGAGTTCTCGGTGTAGTTTAGGTCTAATCTGTTTCCCTCTCTGTTCTATGTTGATATGTGTTCATGCTGTCTCAGTGAACTAACAGTGTGTGTGTATGACAATGTAACCAAGTGTGTGTGACTGCCCCCCCCCCCCTCACCTGCTTGTAGCACTATTGCTATGACCCCTACATCATGCAGAGCTGCCTCTCCCAGCAGACTGTCACTTACCTGCCCTACGCTGCTGCCGCCTTCAGTCCTCCCCCTCAGGCTTATAGCTATGCGCCTTACTTCCAGGTACCTGTAGACCCTCCACAGCTCCCCCTGCCTTTCTCCCCGGGTGGGTGCAGACCGCCACTTCCTCTCCGTCCTCTTCCTTTTGACATCTGTTGATATTTTTGCACCTAAAGACTTGACAATGCAGAGGGACAATTGTCTTTCTCTTTCTGTCTGAGACAACAGCAGCAGCCTCAATAAGATCCTCTCGCTTAAAGACAGAATTTTAAATCATCTGCACTTGGCCCTGGAGTTTTAAAAGCCTTTAGGTCTGTTGGAGATGGCATTATTTCTCACACAGAAGCCTTTTCCTCACATGCACTCCTGAAAAATGTCTAGAATGTAAGAGTTCAGTCAGAGAAACGATGAAAACAGGAGGACAAATCTGCTTAAACTCAAGACTTTTGATTCAGCAGAGATCCTTAAGGACACAGTGGACATTCAAATATGGACAGAAATTGTGTTTCCTGACATTTAAACGTACCTGATGTCAAAGCTTGGGAAGTTCACAAAGCAAAGCTTGAAGGCACACATGAGCCGGGTTTGAGTTTTTAACAGACAAAGTAAAAACAAACAAAAAAACGCCCTAACCTCGGCACACATACGCTTTCATTCTGTGGGAAAACAGCGGACATTAAAGACAATGACATTAAAGATAATGACATTAAAGACAATGACATTAAAGACGTCTGAGGCTTCAAAGGACAGTTTGTAGTTCAGGATAACAAAAGGTATAAAAGTAGACGCGACTGTCAGAGGTCCAGACCGGGTTTCATTCTTCTACATACATGTGAGTGTGCAGACAATGAGGTGAAAGGAACACGCCTCCCTGCAGCTAATGCTAATGCTAACACGAGCTGAACAGTGATCGTAGTGCACATGCTCCTCAGGTGAGCTCCTCCTGCTCACCTGTGTACCTTAAAGGAGTTTTTAACCCGTTTCCAACAAGTGGTCTGCTTCAGTTCAGTACAGTCGTTTCCACTGTCAGAAGTTGGGATTTGACCGTCCTGCTTTTTAGCTTCCCTTCTGTTGAGGTGCCAAGCGTACCAATCTGACCCTAGAGGGCGGAGCTAGACACCCTGGAGTCTGGTGATTGGTCGAAAGAGTCAAAGTCACTTCCTTTGCAACAGCGGTAATAAAACGCGTCCGTGGATTTCGAGAGAGGCTGTCTTTGCGACCAATGCCAGCGCGCAGTTCCGCCCCACTATGATCATGGAGGTGTAGACCTCTGCTGGACGTCATTAGCCTTCATGATTACTCTGATGCTAGTCGTTTCTAAAAACGTGCTGTCTTTATATTTAACTATTAAGTAAGTCAGCAGCACCCACGCTCAAGCAAATGCAAGATTTCCAAGAGGAAAAGGTCATCAATCTCAGCTTAGTTTCATTCATGTGTCAAAGCTGTTGAGTTTAAAACTTAAATCTTCAAACAGTGTCTTGGTTTGAGAGACGTCAGAGCCTCTTAAGAAGATCCTGAACTGTCCCGCTGAAGACTTTAAGCAGTGCATGAAGTTCTAGTGGAACATCTAAGACCTCTAAGAATGAATTCTTCTTTAAGGTCAGCAGATGAAACTATTGTTTCTACTGAAAAACTATTGTCAGTCTTAAAATACTTCTGACCTTCATCCTGCCTTTGTAAACTTTCACATGTCTCTGAAAGCATCCATAGCTTTGAAATCAGAAGCTACTAGAGGAGAAGGAACGCTTCGGGCAATTAAAATAAATGTCTGTGCACCCCCCCCCCCCCCACCTCAATTTCCCCTTCCTGTCATCCAGCTCCCGAATCTCCTCCCTGCTCCGGCCTCAGTGTGTCGTTTAAGGAAAGGAAATGAGTGATTAGGTATTTTCCTCCTTGGGGCAAGAGGATCTCTCTCAGAAATGTGGCACGCTGATGGTTTATTTGCTCTTCTAATGCCAGGCCGGTGAGGAATGCAGCGGGGGGAGAAATTACCTCTCCACGCCCCCCCCGCCGCCTTTTATAGGTGCACAGCGGAAAATATGACGAGAAGAGGTTCATAAATCCAGGTGTCATGACTCTCTCTGCCAAATGTACGATACTATAAAGCATCCAGATTTCAATCAAGGTCTTCATTTGAAATATTCAAGGGTCAGCACTCTTCTCATCTGGGACCCTGGGCCCGGATCTGAGTACGCTTGACCCCAAAGTTTGGTTCATTTGATCAAACATACTGTACTCCAGTACCTTGCTAGAGTCCGCTTGAAGAGGTGGTCTCGTACTCGAGAAGGGTCCGCGGGAGATGTGAATGCAACCGTTCCCAAACAAGGAAGTGGACCCCGCTATGTGACGTCTAAACGACTTCTGACGCTTCAAAAACCGTTGTGTCCACCTAGCACGGGCCCGTTTTATCCTCTGAGCTGCCTGATAGATGTGGAAGTAGGAAGAGGGTCATGGTAGGCATCTCAGAAATAACAAAAAACATCCACATCCAATAAAAGCACAGCACTTCAGTGTGTCCATCTTCAAAATAGAAGCACAACACTTCAGTTTGTTCAATTTCAAAATAAAAGCACCACACTTCAGTTTGTTTGTCCACCTTCAAAACAAAGGACTTCCATGTCAAACTGTTTAAAAGGGGAAACTGAAATTCACAGAGCAGAGAATGAAATATTTAACAGATGCAGTGTGGATAGCGAGTGTGCAATCATGTGCGATGCAACGTGATCTCCAACACTCACGTGCTGTTAGGTCACGGTGTAAGTTCAAAATTCTGGTGGCTACATACTCGGTCAATAATTGATAAGATTTGATACAAATCAAATCTTATCCCTTCTTCAGTTTCCTTGAGGCTGCATCCATCCCCCCCCCCCCACTCCTCCTGCAGCGTGGTTGTTTTGCAGTGTCTCCTCCTCCTCGGGTGCTGTGAAGCTCCTGCAGATCTGCATGTCTTTACTGTGTAATTAAAATGACAGATTCTCTGGGCCTCCTCTTCTGTGTGTGAGTGTGAATGTGTATCTTCTCGTCTTGTGTTTTTGTGCATGGCTTGGTTCCTCTGCTGGTCTGTCATGCGTGCGTCTCACTAACTGCTTCTCTTCTCTCTCCTTTTTTTTTCCCTCACCACGCTTCAGCCTAGTGACCTGCGCAAGCACCGCAGGAAGGTAAACCAGAGGCCTGTTTCACTGGGCTCTGTCGGCCATGTATTTTTTTATCCTCACTCCCTCAACTCCCGAATATGCTCCTCCCTCTTTAGTATCTCCATGTCATTTCACAGTGTCATATTTAGTACATGCTCCTTTCAAAAACATCCATCTGTATACTCCCCTTGTGAGGTGTTTCAATCAATCAAGTTTTAAGAGTTTACTGTTTTAATCCTTTTAGCAGTGAGTGCATGTTTTTCAGACTTCTCAAAGTTCTTGTCACATCTTCCTTTTTTAGTTTTTTTTTGTCATTCTGTTCCCAAGATTTAAACACTATACGGTACAGGAAGCATGGATTTCCAATATCGCCCACCCCTTTGTCTTTTATAGTTCCCTCTGAGCCGTCACGCCCACCAAACTGGACAGAAATGCTCCCTGCTATATTTGTTCTTTCATATCTTTAAAACAATTCCTCGTTGGATGGTATAGAATAAACATCAGAGCGTGCTGTGTAAAGGATGTTTCTTAAAGTCAAAACAGATTAAAAATCCAGAGATATCCAACTTGTTAACATCGTTTAATTTACTGTTACGCAGTCGGCTCAGGACGACAAGGCCACCATCCGATGTGAGACGTCGCCCCCCACCACTCCACGCTCCATGCGCCTGAGCAGGGAGGCGGGCTTTACCGCAAGCCACGAGGACATTCGAGACATTCGAGGGTAAGACCCACAGAGATACAGGCACGTCATTGATTTCCCTCGTCTCCCCTTATTCAAACGACCGGCTCTTTCGTTCCCACAGTCTGGCCGGCCTGCAGGACGGTCAGGGTAGTAACCCCAGCAGCAGTAACAGCAGCCAGGACTCGCTCAACAAAGCAGCCAAGAAGAAGAGCATCAAGTCTTCCATTGGACGCCTCTTTGGGAAGAAGGAGAAGGGCCGACCCAGCATTCCCAGCAAGGACTCCTCCCCCAGCCAAGGTCAGACACGCACAAGGGTTTTATTCCAGGACGGCTCATGTGAATGTTAATGTCAGGAAATTCATTCACAGCGTTTAACGCCTTAATGCTGCTGACATCGCAAATAAAAAGAAGAGAATGACATAAAGCAAACATGCTGAGCATTGTGTCCCTGCTTTTAAGTTTCTTTATTTGTGCTAAAGAAAAGATTAAAATAAGACAGAAGTTAACTGGTTCATACAGAATGCACAGGTGGGACAGAAGAAACCTCTAACTGCCAATTTCCACATACTGTGCGCGCCGTGGTCTGTCAGTGCCTTGGTTTTTGCGCCATCTGACTGTGCAGATCCTGCTCAACTGGGTCCGTTTATGGAGCGTGAGCGCAGCCATAAGTAGCTGTACACACATCACAGAACTTCAAGATCTAAGGAGAACTCGCTCTCCTGTAAACTCTTTAATTCAGTAGATTGCCAAATAGAGCAACAAGAAATTCAGCCAGTCTTACAGATGACGAGTAGATCCTGAAGTATTTACTAATTCATAAATATACTTAGAATCCAGAATCATTTTGAATCGAAAATCTATTCTGAATCGAATCCTGACCCCAAGAATTGAAATCGATTTGCGAGACACCCAAAGATTCCCAGCCCTAGTCTGACTTCCTGTCTGTGTTGATCTATTCTGTCCAGCGTGACGCGTGCTTGCAGCGTGCTCTGTCGAAAATAGACTCGCTGCATATTTGAAACTCCTGGCACGCTCCGTAGACAGACCGAGCAGTCACTTTGGAAACAGGAGCATTTACTAGATTGGGAGTGGACGGCTGACATACAGCGGTGCGCACTGCGTTATGTGGCAATTGGTGGAAAATGTGGAAAAGCTTGTAAAAGGAACCCATCTAACTTTGAGATGAAAGCATCTGCAACATAATACAAGCAGATTTAGGTACTCATAGAAAGTCTACTTCCTGTTTCTGTCAGCCCTGTGAACGAGGTGTTTGTTTATACGTTTGCAGCCGGCACTCCTGAAGCGGAGGGCTCTCCAAAGGACGGCTTAATGGGAACGCTCGGAGGTCCTGCAGAGAAGAACAGGAAGCTGCAGAAGAAGTAAGTGTCATCCCGCCCCCTCTGCTGTCTTCACAGTTTCATGTCGACTGAGAATAAAGTTGAAAGATGACCAGATAATCCTCGACTCCAGGGCACTGCTGTGTTAATAACGTCAACTTGTTTTGCTTTATTGTGGGCTTGTTGCTGCTCACTCCCTGCCGACTCACTCACGCTCACTCCAACAGGCTCATCTCGCTTCCAACCCACACCAGTTTATTTCCATTTGGTCACTCGTTTATGATTTTCCCTTCACGCCAACATACCGCAAACACCATTAAATTATGTTTTGCTTCCATGTAGCTTTTAAATTACCATCAGTTCATTCTTTCTCTGTGCTGTTTTTCCAACCCCACCCCCGTCTTCTTTTTATGACCATCCCCTTCTCATTCCATGTGTAGTCCAAAGACAGGGTAAGTCGGTTCACCTTGTTGCTCTTTTTTTTTTTTTTGCTTTGCCTTATCTTCTTCCCACACTTGGCTTCACGTTGACCTCACCACTAGCTCTGAGGACCCCAAACAACTGTCCCTGCGACTCTCTGACGGCTTTTCCATGCTGCTCTTTTACCCTGCTTTCCACAGCGGAGCTTAACTAACAGGAATGTGTGTGTGCTGATGTTTTTAGTGAGTGACACTTTTTCCTCTTGCAGTTTTCCTATCAGAGCATGAAGTGATGCACTGCAACTATGGGAAAAAGATAGTTAACGGCTCGAGTCGGCTCTTCGTCATTGTGTTTGAGGAGATGCGCTTCAGTAGAGTTGCTGTGCTGCTTTAACGTCCTCAGAATGTGAATCTGATCAGAGTTAAGAACATGCTCTATCTGCTTAGGTTTTATTATAACAGCTCAGATCTGCCAAAAAAAAAGAAGATGGGCTTGTTCTTTATCAGTGCTATATGTCCCACAGCCCCATCTAGTGGTCATTTTCATATTTACACGCCTTCATGATCCCTGTGAAGACCCTGACACACCAAGCAGACGGCAAAGAAGTAGTGGCGACAAAGCCGTCTTTGCCAAAAAGTTGCACTAGAACACACCGCAAAAGACTACAGCCGACGGTCAACCACCACGAACGTTCTGCTCATGAGAGGAAATAACTCTCCATGCCAGCAGGGGGCGATAGTCTGTTGTTATGATACGAGAAGAACATTTTCACACCGCTGTCAGTCACCACTCGTATTATAGGTAGCCTTCTAATGGAGAATAATGTCTGATAAAAAGTTGAAAATGGCGCTGGCGTTGTCAGTTCTTGGTGTTTTAGTGGAAAAAGAAAAGAAGAGGAGGAGGAGACAAATAAGGAGAAACCGCACTAAAGGGTGAAAGCATGGATACTACAGCAGCATGCTTAAGGGGCTTTCCTGAACCTGTGAGGAGAGATGGAGAGAAATTAAACCTCAGGACAGCCAATCAGATTCCTCTCACAAAACGCGCCAACGCTGATTCAACATGTCGAATTGGCTGAAAAAAGTCAGACGGAGGCCGGCGGGTAACTACTGAGAAAAACTAGGGCGATGATCGCTCAGTTGGACCGACAGCCGATGATCTCCTTGGTGTTTCAGGGCCTAAAGGTTTCAGAGAGTCTCTGCTTAAAGGCGTTGTTCCTTCATTAAAAACTGTGAATGTGCATGAAGTGGATGCTCAAAGCCATCGCTAAAGTTTCCTTCAGTTCTTCCCTCCGTGCATGTTTTTTGATCCCTGCAGTTTTTGAGGAATGCTTTCATACTGAAGTCATTCTCTTAGTGGACTCGCACAGCATTGGTTCTGGGAGAAAACTACCAACTCACAAAGTTCCTCCTCAATCCTGAAGATCTTGCTGAGACATACAGTCATTGCTAAGAGCTTTAAAAATGACCCGTGTGGTTTACACGGAGAGTCAGGGTTTGAATACGTCTGAGAAAATGATTCTAATTAGGGTTCGACCGATATGAGATGATTGGGCCTGATACCGATAAGGACAAATTGGCCGACATTTTTCTTTGATCTACCTTCGATCTTTAGAGATATAGAAACCACTTGACACTCTGGAGAGTGATGATGCTTTTTGTAATCCATACAGCGCCCTCTGCTGGAGACAGCCAGAAAGATAATGAAATGCTGTTTGACTGGTGAATACATTTCATGATAATTTATAGCCGATGCCGATAGTCAAGTTATCAGAGGCGCTTCTTTTAAACAGGCAAGGCCAGCATCTGCTTTAGGCCCCAGGCCAGTAGGGGACCCAGAGGGCTGACTAACTCTAAATCACAGTGTTGGCTCAAATTGTGCAAATTTTGCAATGACGGTAGGAAGACTCCCTAAGAGGGCCCTATCCAACAGTATCTCTCTCCTCGTGCTGAATTAGAACTTTAAAAACCAAAGTTTGTCAAAGTCGCCAAAAACAACTGAAGAGAAATTCTCCGTCTGAGTGAAAAGAAGAACGAGGAAGTTAAGACATTGGATCAATATGTCAGTTTATTGACACCAACAAAAGAGGATGAAGTGCCCCCTCCAAGCTGGTTACTTTGACTTCCAACATAAAGGTGATTAATGCGGTGTATTGAGCCCCCCTGATTTTTTGTTTAGGGTCCCAACAGACTCAAGAACCGTCGCTGCATGCTATATGCTAACATCGTCTGATTTTAATCGGCTGGTAGATTATCGGTCAGGCTCTAATTCTTATGAAGGTTTTCCAGATGAGCATGTCTCTGTTCGATACTTCCTGGGTTTCAGTTCCTTTGTTTTCTCTCAAACTCCTGCTCTCTGGTTTGATGCATGTGTATTGACACCTTGGGTCCGAGGGTAAATATGACTGAGTGCGTACTGCAGGTTGGGATATGCTCTGTGGAGTTGCTGTGTTTGTTTGTATGTTTTTGCATTCTGTCTTTAATATATCGGTTTGTGTCTCAGGCATGAATTACTGGAGGAGGCTCGCAGGCAGGGCCTGCCGTTCGCCCAGTGGGACGGACCAACTGTCGTCGTTTGGCTGGAGGTACGCTGAAACAACACTGATGTAAAGTAACCTGGGAATCATTGTTTTTACTGTTTGATTAGAGCTTCATTTGCTGCTTTAGATGTCGACAAAATCTTCTTCCTCTTTAACAAGAAGCTCTTTTCTTGCAGGTATCCTTTCTATAAAAAACAAAAAAAAAAACAATCTGAACCGGTACAAATACAACTTTTAGAGGACTTGCTTTGATTTGGCATTGATCGGGATAACGTTGCAGCCATTTCAGGAGCAAACTACTGGAGCAACCCTGAAACTTTCTACTCCTATTAGTCCTTAAATGAGCAATATGTAACTCTGACACCTAGTGGTTAAAATGGGTACTGCAGTCCAGATTCAAAACATTGTAGAGAGCTGTCTCTCCTCTCTAGAGTTGATGCTCAAACAGGTTTTCATGTGGTGGACTCTGAAGCTTCAGTGTTTATCCAGCTCTGCATCGGTCTGTAAACCTTTCTGTGTTCTAACCTCTCTCCATTTTTCAAAAGCATCTCCAATATTGATCCTAGTTTGAGCACGTTTCTGCTCGTGGAGCTTATTAGAAACATGCAGAGGCTTTTTAGGTCGGGTACAATCACTTCTACCTGAACCGCTTCTCTTGCCCGCTTCCATCACTGCAACACCTGTTGACCTGATAACTGCTCTCATATCTGGCAAACCGAGGGGCGTCCAAAACGGCCATGTGGGGGTGCCTTAAAACCCCCTACCTTCTCTAGTCCAAACAAATCCAGAGCATTCAGGACCAGAATCTAAAGTTAGAAGGAGGACATACTGGCTGCTGCATTGTTGTCAGAGAAGCACTTCAACATAGCATGTTTCCTTAATGTCTGATCATAGAGTAAGCTCACTTTATCATCTCACTCACTACACATCTCACTGATTGGACCCAGCATATAAAGGTAAAACATGTCCTGGGTTTAAAAACTCTTGAATGACTCTGTAGCTGATGTCTCCTGTCTCTCTTCCTCCTCCTTCTCTCACCAGCTGTGGGTGGGCATGCCAGCCTGGTACGTGGCTGCATGCCGTGCTAATGTGAAGAGTGGAGCCATTATGTCAGCGCTATCGGACACAGAGATCCAAAGAGAGATCGGGATCAGCAACCCGCTACATCGTCTGAAACTCCGCCTGGCCATCCAGGAAATCATGTCTCTCACCAGCCCGTCGGCCCCGCCCACCTCAAGAACGGTAATCGTCTGTTTGGTTAATGACAGGATGCACACACATGTTGCTATTTATCACCTTAATACCTTCAATATACGGGCTGATGATGCCGTTAAGCTCTCTTCCTACACATTCTTGTCACTGTTGAAGCATGAAACTTTTTATTTACAAACTCAACATGTACTAAACCCGCGGTCAGACGAGCTTGATCCGCTTGCTAACAGAGATAACAGTGAATGATCTTTTTCTCCATCCTGCTTTCTCTCCGTCACTCTTCCCTCTTTAAACACTTCTCTCACTTGTGATCGGGGCCGGGGGTGTCACATGTTCAGACCACAGGAAACGTTTGGGTCACACACGAAGAGATGGAAAGTTTGGCAGCCACACCTCCCACGGTTAGTCTTCCCCCGATTGGCTGGTGCCTTCTGGCCTCTGTGGTGACCGTCGAGGCTCATTCCAAGCTGCCTTACAGACAGACAGACACACAGACAGACAGAGTGAGATGCAGAGAGGCAGAGAGACGGGCAGAGAGAGATGCAGAGAGAGACAGACAGACAGAGAGACTGACAGAGAGACAGAGAGACAGAGAGAGCAGAGAGAGAGAGAGAGAGACAGGCAGAGAGAGAGACGGAGAGACAGACAGACTAAGACAGAGAGACAGACAGACAGGCAGACAAGAAACCTGTCTCACTCACTCACTGCATGCTTGTTTTATTACTTGATAATCTGGTTTGATTCAGTCTTAAGGCAGCTTGAACACGCCTCTTCTCCCTCCTTTCCCCCGTCTTGGTTATAGTTCTTTTAGTCCTACATTACATACTGTGTGTGTGTGTGTGTGTGTGTGTGTGTGTGTGTGTGTGTCTTTGTGTTAGTGCTGTGTAGTTGAGTGTAATAAAAACCTGATACTTAATATTTTGCAGTTTTTGATCTCAGCCAGAAGAAGGGCTGCCCCAAATTCTAAATATTCTAGTCGACCAGTCACCGCACATTTCTGTTATACATAAACTTTTGGAGACATCAGAACCGATAAAATTCTCGACCTGCAAAAGAAAGTTTTACGTCACATTTTTAACGCCTCCAATCGAAAAGATCAGTCCCCGGGGCGTAAAAGCAAGAGCACGCTTTGAGGATAGTGTCAGGAGGTAGGTGATTGGGAGGAATGGTCTAACCATATGCCTCGCTTATTGTGTCGAAAATGTCCTCCCAAAAGGTTGTCAAATACCAGATTTTAAACAACAGATACAATACCATTAAAACTCTAATGGTATCAACACCTATTTCGTGACCACAGTAACAGAACTAGAGTCATTCTCACATCAGCTCATCCCGGCGTACTGCAGAAAATTGTACTAACGGGGCTGGCAGATGAAATTCTTTTGGATGTCGGGGGGGTTTGTGTTCACACATGCAGCTCACAACGGGAAATGAAGAGACATTTTCAGGAGTTTGGTTCTTCTGTGAAAACACGTTAGGAGAGACGTGGACATAAGGCCTCCTGCTTCAACTCTACACATGGAACAGAAACACAGCAGATAGATCAGAAACACAGCAGATAGATCAGAAACACAGCAGATAGATCGTACACTCGCTCAGACAAACTAACCCATGAAACTTTGTTGACTCAGACTTTTTCCATAGACTCACGCTGAGTCGGGGCAGCCCTTACAGCGCAACGTAGATCTGCATAGATATCCCCCCCTCCTCCAGCCGCTGTTACCTGTGTGTTAGGATTTGGCGATATGAGGAAACAGGGAGAAAATCTAAACATGCCTAATGTCAGAGATTCCACTTTACGCTTTACAATGAGGTGGCGTCCGACATCAGTGTCTGGTTTGTGGGTACTTTTACAAGTCAGTGATCACTTCTGCTTGATTGGAATGTCAGATCAGGAGTTTGAATTCACCTGATGGCTCTTGTAAAACAAAAGGAAAAAGTATGCTTGACGTCTTGTTCCTTGAATCGCCAACTCCTCCTGATATTTGTAGTTCTATCCCCCCCGTGTCTTTCTGGTTTGTTGTCATTGCATGAACTTGTCTTGCTTGTTGTTGTTTTTATTTTGAATGATTTATTTATTTTTCTCCACATTAGCTGCTCTAACAGCGCTGCGGCCTCACTAACCCCTCAACCTTTTCTGTTCTTCTCACCATGCTCACTCTAACCATGCTAACACCAGGAGGATGACGAGGGTAGCTGGGCACAGGTTTGCACACGTTCACTAAACCCCCAACCACCACCACCACCACCCCCTCCCCCTCTCCAGACTACACTCACCTTCTACACTCGATCTTTGTGACAGTTTTCTTCACTCAGTACGTTTACATGTGCAGTTAACGATGTGTCAGCAACTCACAGGTTTTTGCAAATACTCAGGATGTTGCAGTCACAAACTGCACGACGACAACTCAGCTCCTTTTGAGATTATTTCCCATAATGCATCTGCTGAAAAGGAACACCTAGCACTTTTAAGCAGAAAAACTGAAAAGGGAGGAGAACTTGATGGTGTCGTGGAGAGAGTGAGAACGCCGCAGGGGATTTCCCCTGACCTCACCGTGGATTTCAAGGGCTGCGGCAATATCTTTTTTTTAATTTTTTTTTTAGATTTATTTTTTGGGCTTTTTGTGCCTTTAATGCAGAGATAGGACAGTGGATAGAGTCGAAAACCAGGGAGAGAGAGAGCAGGGAATGACATGCGGAAAGGGGCCACGGGTGGAAGCGAACCCGGGCCTACCGCTCGAGACGAGAGTCTCAACACATGGGACGCGCGCCTAACCATTGCGCCACCAGCGCGCCCCAGCTGCGGCAATATCTGTCCCCTTTTTTTCCTTCCCGCTCTATGGTGGTATGAAGTAGAAATTAAATGACTGTTTATTTAAAACGGGGGATCTGGACTCTGATAGATCTTAAATATTGTAAATCCTCCATTTTAGTTTCAGAGACGATCAGAGACAAATGCAGAATTTCAATGACTTACAGGTTTTGTTTTTCATCACACTGATAATAAATGTTTTGGTGCGTTGTTCTCAGCTTAGCTCAACTCGGTGAGTTATAGCGTGTCCTGACAGCACGGGATGCAAGCGAGCGTCAGCGACTAAAACTGGACTTTAAAAACACGTGTTAACATGTTAGTCTGACAGGAAGTTGAATTTCTTCAAGTCCGACTAACATAACACTAGCATTTCTACACCTCCATTAGATTCAAACAAACCGGACGAGGCGCTCTGAGCATGCGCCACAATCTCCACGCCGTGCACGAGTGCCTAGCAGAGCAGAAGTCCTGCTTTCACCATTCGACTTACAACTTGTGAGCGAGGTCAACAAAGAGAAGGTCCAACAGTCACTTTCTGAAAGGGGGAATATCGCCACCTGCTGTAGAAGAGTCTGACATGGTTTCAATAAATTCTCCCTCGGTGTTCGGACACTGGGACAAGTACAGTAAACGTCCTAATGGAGCTGTAGAGCGACTTCACTGTGCATGTAAACGTCCTGACTGTCTTTGATCAACATCCTAACAATCAGATCTTTTGGAGCTTCTGTCAGGTCACCCTTACCCTTAAAGTACGATAGGCTGAAGTCAGCTTGCAGGTTTTTTACAAACCATGAAAATCAGTTAAGAGAGCGCAAAGTTTAAAAATATCACCATCACATGCTGAGCAGTCTCCTCTCTGACCGCAGACTTTGGCATACGGAGACATGAACCACGAGTGGATCGGTAACGAGTGGCTGCCCAGCCTGGGTCTGCCTCAGTACCGCTCCTACTTCATGGAGTCCCTGGTGGACGCCCGCATGCTCGACCACCTCACCAAGAAGGACCTCAGGGGACAGCTCAAAATGGTGGACAGCTTCCACAGGTAACACAGCCGACAGGTCTCATAGGTGTTATTTTATCGTCTTTGTGATGTCGTGATTACATGTGAAGACATCCGTCTCTGTGTTTGTGTAACAGGAACAGTTTTCAGTGCGGCGTGATGAGTCTGCGGAGGCTCAACTACGACAGGAAAGAGCTGGAGAGACGAAGAGAGGAGACTCAGATGGAGCATCAAGGTAACCAACACACGGCCGATATCCTCAGCTACACTTAACCTGCTGCTCGACGGCCCGAGGATGTGACGTTATTCTGTCGTTTCAGAAGTGCTGGTGTGGAGTAACGAGCGCGTGATCGTCTGGATTCAGGCCATCGGGCTCAAAGAGTACAGCGCGAACCTCTACGAGAGCGGCGTCCACGGAGCGCTGTTCGCTCTGGACGAAACCTTCGATCACAACACTCTGGCTCTGCTGCTGCAGATCCCCACACAGAACACACAGGTACACACAGCTGGTCATTCCCCCGATCACTGAACCAGTTCAGCATCATCTGTGGTCATTTCTATCTATAAGACATCATCAAAAATGACCTTAAATGCTCCCAAATCCATCATTTAAGAGACCTGGTCCAGATAGAACTGGCTCTATGATGCATTCTTAGGCCCCGAGTCCACCTAGCGTTTTGCGAGTGCCAGCGTATTTTTACAACCGTTTTTCAATCAGGAGAGAGGAGAACAAGTGCGGCGCCCAGCGTCCTTTTTTCCGAGCGCTCAAGTTGGAAATCTTTTCAGAAAGGCGCTGTTGACGCCACCGCCGCTCTTTTCCACGTGTATGATAGTTCCCTCATTTTTGCCGCCTACAGATCGTGTCTTCAATCCTCATCCTGCTCGCTCCGTGTCTGATCAGGAAATAAACGATCTCAAATAACATGCAGTAAAAAGTAACGGAGCAGTGTCGTTCATACAGCGGCCGTTATCAACGGACTGTTGCCATGGAGACAGGATGGACGTGCAGCACTTTTCTTCTCAGTGCACAAACGCTTCAAAAACTCCCAAACGCACAGTCAGCGCTTTCCTGCCTGGAAACAAAAACTCTATGTGGACACGGGGCCTTTACATTATTCCCTTTAAAACAAACCTCCCACTCGCTCACTCTTCAGTCGAGTTTAACAGCGAGAGGTTACACGTTCCTGAGAGTGGAGACTCTGGTTCTTGGTGAATTAATCTGTTAGTGTGTGGCGTGCTGAGTGGGATATCATTGCTCCACACTCAGGTTAAGAAACCTGATTTGTCGTCATGTGGGCTCTTTCACATTTTCAACGTGTTTTTTTTTTTATCTATTTTTGGGCTTCTGGCGCCTTTATTCTAGAGATAGGACAGTGGATAGAGTCAGAAATGGGAGAGTGGGGAACGACATGCACCTGGGCCCGCTTGGAGGACTACAGCCTCCATACATGGGGCTCACACACTAACCACTGCGCCACCAGCGCCTCATCATTTAAGATTTTTTAGAAATCTTTTATTGTGTGCCAGGTCTCTGAGTTTCTCTGTTCAGTAACAGTTTGTGCTTTCCTCTTCGTGTCCTCTAGGCCAGAGCGACTCTAGAGCGTGAATACAACAGTCTGCTGGCCCTCGGCACAGACCGGAGAATGGAAGAGGTGACAAACACACACACACACACACACACACATGCTCTCACACACACACTCTCACACACACACATGCTCTCACACACACACTCTCTCACACACACACATGCTCTCTCACACACACACACACACACTCACACTCACACAAACACAAACACACTCACACACTCACACTCACACACTCACTCACACAAACACATACACACACACACACTCACACTCACACACTCACACTCACACACACAAACACATACACATGCTCTCACACACACACTCTCACACACACACACATGCTCTCACACACACACACGCTCTCACCCCATATGCTCTCACACACACACACACACACACACACACACACACACACACTCTTCCCTGTACAGCACCACAGACGAAGTGAGAACTGATCCGTGAATCCAACACCTCTCCTGGTGATCTCTCTCCTCCAGGATGACGATAAGAACTTCCGCCGAGCTCCCTCATGGAGGAAGAAGTTCAGGCCCAAAGACGTGAGGGGGATGTCGTTGGGTGCGTCCGACACCCTGCCCGCCAACTTCAGAGTGACCAGCAGCAGCGCAGCTTCATCTCCCTCCCCGCAGCCAAAGAGGAGCCCGATGGACGGTAAGATGAGGCTGCCAGACGTGTGAGCGTGTGTGTGTGTGTGTGTGTGTGTGTGTGTGTGTGTGTGAGTGAGAGAGTGAGTGTAATATGCTGTTACTTATTCAATAATAACTTCTCTGAAGGGTCCAGAAGGAGCCCAGACTCCTCGTGTACTCTCTGAGCCGGTTCACACCTGGTTTTAACACGCTGCGGAGCGAGACCCTCAGTACAGCCGGTTCTAGGGTTAAAGTACTCTAAATCAGTCATGGCCTCAAGACCGGTCTCGAGACCTGTTTATGAAGGTCTCGTCTGACAAACTAGAGCATCTTTACTCTGTCGTGGATCGGTCTCAGACTGGGCAGACTCCAGATTTTAAATCACAACCGGTCAAGACCACCACTGAATGGCTATTTTTCCACCTCATTTCTGTGATTTCTTTATTAATTAATAACTCTTCTGTAGTTTGATTTTTATCCCCTGGTTATGGTGGTGGATACCCGGGTGTTACGGTCTAAGTGAGTGACACGCCGTCTGCAAACAAGATCAGGGTTTTTCACTGATATTTATGGTCTTGGCCACGCCCTCGCCCTGCCTTGATCTTTGCCTTGTCTCTGTCTCGATCCCTTAATATCTCGGGTTTCGGTCTCGCCCTGCCTTGTTCTTGGTCTTGACTTTATCCCTAAATGTCTTGGTCTTGTCTCGGTCTCTGAGCCCTCTGGTCTCGGGTATGTCTCGGTCTCATTTACTGTGGTCTCGCCCACAACACTAGCCTGCTCTTGTCGCTCTCTCGTGCTCTCACCACGTGGGGCGCGCGTTGAAACCAGGTGTAAACGTCGTCTTTTGTTTCTCTCTGATTGGCTTTTCTGCTCTGCTGTTTACGATGCTGTGACTAACTGCATGTCATTCTACCAACATGGCCTCGCAGGAAGTCAGTCTATACAGAGGCTGGACACTGCCACAGTCAGGACCTACTCTTGTTAACACACAACGGTGAGTTCACCTTCTAACACCAACCACACTCCAAGCATTGTGTACGACCTCACTGCGGACGTCTTCTTCTCCTCGTGCAGGCCGACCGCAGCTCTCCTGTTCTTCACTTCTTGGCTTTATTAACGCACGTTGCTTCTCCTCTCTTTCTCTCCGTTTCCTCCCCCCGTCCCATCCCTCGCTTCTGTCCTGCTCCCCCCCCCCCCCATCTCGTGTCCGATCATCTCTCTCTTCCCCCTTCTCAGTTTATCCTCATTATTTCTATAGGTAACCGCTGGTCAGAGGACGAAGGGGAGTTCCCCGCGTTCAAGACCCGGATGATGAACTGAAATGACTTTAAGGACACTAAGAAAAGAAAAAGATTTTTTTTTTTGTCGTCAACACACACAGAGAGAGAGAGAGAGCGAGAGAGAGAGTTTACTCACCGATCTCAGTCTCCCTAGAGGAAACCTTTTTAGATGTATCTACAGGTGTTGTTATATTTATGTCGACCGATGGGACGTTTTAATTGATTTTTAGAATAACCATGTAATCCTCTTTTTGTTGTCGCCTCTATCGACCCACTTTTTAACGAAAGAATAATTCCTCCACTGTGCCCGTATTAAGCTGAGCTCTCAGATGTATGTAACTGAATGTTTTTATGGTCTGGAGTTTGTATATTTCTACCGACAGACGTTTTATCTAATCTTTTTTTATAATCCTGATTCTATTGACGAGATGTACGTTATTGTCTCCTTCTCTTTTGATCTGACTTCTAATCATCAAGTGACTTTGATACGTGATATATAACTTCCTCATATCGCCCCGCCCCCTTTTTACCTGTCGTCATGTTTGTAGCTTCTCACCTGTGACTTTGTGTGAAAGCAGCTGTGAGGTCAGCAGGTGTGTGACTGTTTCACAAACCTCTCCACGCTGTGAGTCGTCCGATCCGTCGTCCGCCGATTTAAAAAAAAAAAAAAAAAACTGCTGGCAGGCCGGGCGACGGTGACGACAGATATCATGTGAAACACATTCTCTTCTTTTCTTTACTTTTTCATATCTAAGAAACCAAAATGAAACTCTTGAATTTAAAGAATTAAAGCCATATATCAGTAGCGAGACAAAAAAAAACTAAACAGAGGGCTTCTTTCGTTGAGCTCGAGGTTCTCTCTCGTTGACCTTGCATGCGGAAACTTCTCCACATATCCCCCCCCCCTCCCCTCCCCTCCTATCACAAAGCAACCTTCCTCACCTCTGGAGAACCACGCAGCGCAGGCTCACCTGTACAGGAGGACTTTAAACGTACAGACGAGCCCGACGTGGACACTCCTTCCTTCGATGGACCAACTTCACTGAGGCCTCAGTCGATCCACGCTGCGACTCGAGGCGGTGCGATCCACCCAGCAACCTTCTTTTTTCTTTTTTTTTAAACACTTGTATGACGATTTCATATCGAGCCTTATTGTTTTCTTAACTCTTCTCTGTCGTCTCTTCTTATTTATTATCACTCACCCTTGCTGTGTTTTTGTCAGGTGTACCTTCATAGCTGAAGCCCCAGTTCGCTCCTATGAATGTAGCAACGTCCCTCACGTCTAAGCTTCGTCCCGTCTTCGCTCCAAAACACAGGTTCCAACGCCGGCTCTCATTGAGAACGAGAAGGAACCGCAGATTTTCTCCTCCACCCTCTGAGTGGTTAAAGCTGAACGTAGATTTGTTTTTTTTTCTGTTTGTGATTTAGTCATTCATGCACAATGCAAATCATGTCGCTGTTGTTTTTATTCCTGCTCTTCCCGTTGAATCCTCTGATCTTGTAACAATGATGTACAGTCTGAGTACTTATAAACTATTTTTATCACAATATTATTTATTGCTTACTTTCAATAAAATACTGAAACTTATTTTCCACGGCAGATTAAAGGACTAAAGATTTTCTTGTCTTCTCAACAACCTCTTGGTCTGCTCCTGTCCTGCTTTTGGTTCAAGAAAAAAAAGGAGTAAAGAGAAGTCCTTGTTCAGTGTGTTCGTCATGACGGTTATTTAACAATGTATGACATTAAAGGTCACATATTCTCCTCCTCTTCAGTGTAAATTAGTCTCAGAGCTCCTCAAAACATGTGTTTGAAGTTTCTTGTTGTAAATCCACTCTGATCCTGTATTTGATCATGCCTATAAACCCCTCTATTTCAAGGGAAAGGGAAGGGGAAATCTCCAAACGGCCTGTTTGAGCACACATTTTCTGGAAGGTGGAGCAGGTAAAAGATGGAGAGAATGGACTTTTCTCATTGGGGGGTTTGTAGACTAGGGACACATATTAGTGTTAGAGTGGATTTTCAATCATATGTGACCTTTAAGTTGATAACATTTTAAATTAAAGCACAATATTCACCATTAACTTGCTGCTTTTTAGCATGCTAATTATTTTTGGGCCTGTATGCTTTTATTTTAGAGTCAGGCCCTGGGTAGAGAGAGAGAGTGAGAGAGGGAGGGAGAGAGTGAGTGAGAGAGAGAGTGAGAGTGGGGAATATAGCCACAGGTCTGTCTCTGTACATGGGGCATGTGTACTAACCACTCTGCTACCAACCTCCCCACATTCAGATGAAGGAATGACATTAAATTAGAAACGTCAAAGTCATCTTTATTGTCAATTTTTGCCAGACATAATGAACATACAGAAAACAAATCGTTTCTCTCTGACCTTGGGGCAAACTGCAATCGTATAAAGAAATAGAGATAAACGTGCATTTAAAAACAACAAATGTGTATGGACTTGAACTAAGTTTAAACATATATAATGCACTAACTGGGTTAGCACTAAGATGGAGAGGTGCCAGTTCACTTCCTGAGCACGACTGGAGTGGCCTCGAACAAGGCAGTGACCCCTCACCGGCTCAGGAGCAGCGGGCAGCCCCCCTCACTCTGACATCTCTCCATTAGATCATGTCCACAGGATCCTGTTTGTGAACGTGTGTATTATGGAATTTCCCCTCTGTGGGATTAGAAAAGTATAACTTCTTCTAACTTAGTGAAAAAGAGGCCACAATTAATTCCTTGTAACTCACAGATTACGTGTTGTATAAATCAGTATAGCTGAGCTGCAGAGAAACTTGAGTCACTCAGGATAATAACTTTTGTGCATGTTATTATCTTGTAAAGCACAAGGTGGTTATATTAAAAATGTTCACTTTTTGGGACTTAAGGGTCTCCATAGAATCCTACAATTACCAGGTGCATTAATTTATGTACAATAATTATTTTATTTTCAACTTGATCTAAGAAAAACAAAGTTGGATGTGTGTTTTTTTCATCATTAATTTGCCCTAATGAAGATGCAGGAATGACATTAAATGGAAACAAAATGCCTAGAAACATAACTCTGAAAAAAAAAAAGAAGTGAAATTTAGAAATTATTCTGAAATTTACGGGGAAAATGTACATGTTGAAGCCCCGCCCCCTCGTGACGTCAGTGCTGGCTGAGCTCGGGATACTGGGAGAGCCGGAAGAGAGCCATCAGATCCCTGAAACGTAACAGTTTCTCCATCAAAGCTGGAGGTCTGAACGGACCCACGTCCACCAGGGGAGGATTTTTACAACCTGTAGAGAGTGTGGCCGGAGCTACCTTTTGTCGAACAAGGTGAGTTTTACAAGATGTCTACCTGCCGTGTGTGTGTAAAGATCAGTTAATCATTCCGGGAGGGAGGCGTGTTAGCATTAGCCGGCTAGCTGACTGGAAAACTGGAACAGGAAATACCAGCGACTCAGGCAGACTCATACACCACTATTCTGATTTAATTTAACCTAAGTTCATCACATTTGACCTCTTTTCGTCACTCGATGTTAATTCCCCGTCGTCGATTTAACCATTAAGGAGATTTTCATCCTCATTTAAACGTCTGTTTGATAAGTGTGATCGCGAGCGTCAACGTTTAATTAAATGCGTTTTAATTGGGAAAAGCTGCGCGCGCATCCTGGTAAGTTAAATACATAAAGTGGCTTGGCCTACTTTAAAGAAAACTAACCTACATTTACGCAAAAGGTAGGTTAACGTCAAACGAGCTTTACGTAAATGACGTGATTGCAGCTTGTTAATGTAATTTATCAGCTGTTTCCTGATATTTAAGAGCTTTTTCTTTTTTAACAAGTCTTATTTTGTTGCACCTCTTCTTCACACAGCGTGGTCACAAAGAGGGACAATGTTCAGATTTGGATTGTAGCTGTATATGGGTGTGGCTGTGTTGTGGGGAATTCTCTTGACAGACTTAAAGTTGAGACTTGGAGCTACTTCCGGGTCTGAGGTGGCTCTTCTCTGTGTCTGCCCCCCCCCCCTGTGAGGTGAGCAGAGCCCCTGATTCAACACAGATGCTGATGCCCACATTGTGCTGAGTCAGGAATCAGGTTTAGCACAGCGTTTGTTCCTCTTAAATGCTAATGCAGACTCACAGACACACTATTCAGTAAAGGGAGTCCAAACCTTCTGATGACACGATTAAAAGGGCGGCTGCAGCTCAGTGGTAGAGCCGGTCGTCTCTCAACCTGAAGGTTGCGGGTTCGATCCCCAGCCACAAACCTCAGAAGTCCTTGACACCCACGTTTCGGTAATTTCTTGATTTTAGTTATCTATTTCTGCAGTCACGTGGCCGATGTGTCCTTGGGCAAGACACTTAACTCGGAGTTGCTCCCATATTCTCCTCATGTTTACCTTCCATGTTGTCAGTCTGTGAAACCAGCAGAGCAGCTTGGCATGATTTGCAAAAAAAAAACCTCTCGCTGGCATCACTAAAAACCCTCACATCAGACTTTAAAACAGCTTATTTCAGCTGCTGTCTCTTTAAGGCCCCACTCCCACTGATTGGCCCGCTCTCTTGAAGCCCTCTGAAGGGGACAGAACGCTGCACGGCTGCCAGGTGAGGGGTCCTCTCACTGGGAGAAGAGAGCCTATCACCCTTGTCAGGCTGCTTTTGTTTTTTCTCCGCAAAAGTGCCGTAACTCAGCTCAGCCGTCATCACGTCTTCATAGATTCATATTGATTCCATTACAGCGTAATGATGGCGTCCCACTCTGTGACTTCACATTGCGTTTCAGTGTTGTGGAAGCACGGCACAGTGGGAACTCCACACACACACACACACACACACACACACACACACACACACACACACACACACACACACACACACAGTGCTTCGCCCCCTTCTGGCTCTTTTTGTCGTCTCATAAAGATGTGAAAGTGACAGATGATGTCGCATACAAACAGACAGAAAGCAGAGGAGTTTAAGTTGTCTTGATTGCAAGAATATGCTGGCAACATTTAGGGTACAGATACATTGCAACTGTGTTTGTGCAACTTCGAGAGTTTGCAGGAGTTTCTAAAAACGCGCCCCATTTAACAGAGGCTGCTGTCCTCATCGCCCTTTGCTGCATCTCTCCTCCCAACATTTCCTGTCTCTCTTCAGCTGTCCTATCAAAAAAACAACCCAAAGAAAACCCCCAGTTTTGGCTGCAAAAGACGTCTGATTCTGTTGCTGTGGTATCAAAACAGTTAGTGGTATCATACAAATACCAGTATGATATTGAAGTTTAATGTTCTGCTACTGTGACCACGCTCTCTTTCAGCACGTAGCTCTGCAGCGTCTGTGTTTAATGCAGGTGAGAGGGATTCAACACGACAGCAGGATTTTTCACACGTGAACTTGCGAAAACAAATTTCAAGAGGAAGACTGCTGAGTTTAAGGTTGATCGATGAATCGGTTGAATGCCAGCGGGGGCCGATATTTGCCCTGTTGACCCCTGCGGACGTCAACCTATTACCAAATATTGTGGCACTGGGAGAGTTAAGATGACTCCTTTGGGACGTTAGGGGCGAACAGGAACACAGAAACACTCAAAAATAAGCGATACATTCAGACAGTATTCCCTCAGCTTTTCACCATGTCCTTTCTTCTTCATCTTCTTAAAACAATCCCCTTTGAATCAGGTAGATAAAGTGTGTTTATCTGATTTTATGTGATGCTGTCTTTCAGTGTGTGTTGCTCTAAACATGTGGAAGGCAGCAGCAGGACAGACCATCGGTGTGGCTGTGAATGACGAGGGGGACGACTGGGAGACCGACCCGACTTTGAGGTACCAAAGCTCCCTTCACTCGTCCTCAGTGCGCTTCTAAAACCATCTTCTCCCTCTCCTCACTCGCTGCATGATAATCATTGAACCCTCTTCTTCCTGTTCTCGTGGATTTCTAGAACGATGTGTCGGAGAAGGAGCAGCGCTGGGGGGCCAAGACGGTGTCGGGCTCAGGACATCAGGGGCACATAGAGTAAGGAAGCGCATGTGGTTTCCTCAAAGTATTAAAAATGGCCAACACAGTCCCACAAATGTGTCTTCCTAACGCTGTGCTTTTCTTGGTTAAGTATCCACGAACTGCGGAACACGGTGTCGACGGAGCACACCAGCCTGAAGCAGAAGGAGCAGGAGTGCATGCCCAAGGCCTCGCATGGATACGGAGGAAAGTTTGGAGTGCAGCAGGACCGCATGGACAAGGTGAGAGGGGAAAGGAGACACAGGGTCACAGAAGGACAGTTTGACCTTTTCCAAGAGTCCTGGAGAAATCGCCGGGTTTCCTGATTTAGATTTGGATTGTGCTAAATGATTCAGAAGCTTTTCTGTAGATTTGTTTCTGCTCCACAAATGGACCTTGACTCTCAATTTACACATACTCCCATTGGCCGCGGTCCGTCAGTGCCGCAGTCTTTTGCTACCACTTTAGTCAATGATTGTGTTTCCACAGCGAGCGCCGCGGTCTGTGTCCTGAGCGTGCCAGCAGCGCCACTACGCTCTGCTACTTTTCAACAGAGCTCGCTGCAGCCACGTCAAGCTGGACAGAATATCACAACCCTGACAGGAAGTCAGACAAGGAAACGCACAGAGCTTCCGGTCAATTTCAAAATAAAACACAACATACTGGGCGTGTGTGGAGGAGACTACACCTGAGGAATGAGATACGCTCGCACACTTACTCAAATGTCACCAAAAAGTTTTATTCCATCACAATCGCAACATTTGGACCCTTTCAGCGGTCTTCTCCAGGTGATAGTTTGTGACCAAAGGAGGAGGGGCCACACCCACATATATAGATTTCAACACCAATAGGCTGATCGCAGGTGTGGTCAAACATTCATTTCTTGCACCATCATGTTTTTCTTTGAGCGGTGACGCCAGTTTAGTTGTATTTGTGATTTTCCTGCAGCAGACTCTAAATATAATCCGGTTTGCATTGTAGAAATATGTCCTTCATATTTTAAAGAGAGCTCTCCTCTTCATTTAGCCGACCTTTTCACAAATCTCAGGACTTCAGGGTCCTTTCAGATTTAGGAGCAGTTTTGTCTGTGTGTCTGTGTGTGTGTCTCATGGTGTGTCTGTGTGTGTCTCATGGTGTGTGTGTGTGAAAAGGCTGACTCAGTTGTGGCTGTTTCACACGCCATAATCTTTCCTGGCGAGCGGCTCTGTCCATCCACACCTTTCTGTCTCTTGGCCGTGCGGTCACAGCAGCATGAATGTGATGACCCTGCACTGTTTACACCACAGTGTGTGTGTGTGTGTGTGTGTGTGTGTGTGTGTGTGTGATGAGTCAGGTATCACTGCCTCTGAGCGCTGGCTGTGTTTCCTGCTGAACTGTTCTCTTCATAACCCCTCCACCTCTCCTCAGTTGTTCCTAATCTCTTCTGATTTGTGTGTGTGTGTGTGTTTCTTCACAGTCTGCTGTGGGTCATGATTACCAGATGAAGTTGTCCAAGCACTGCTCCCAGACCGACACGTCAAAGGGTTTTGGAGGGAAGTATGGAGTCCAGGCTGACCGTGTTGACCAGGTATATCTTTCAGCGCGTTCACGACATCTCTATACTTTTAAAGATGATGACTGATTGGTGCAAAGGGTTGGGGGACTTTTCTACTTGAATGCTTCAGTTGGTATCCAAAACCTGCGGTATCCGGGCCAAGTTCCAGCTCAATCACCCGGCGTCAGTCGTGCACTGGGTCCGATCTCAGCCCAATCAGCTGTCCTGCCTAGTCAGCTGAACGTCTGACATGTTTGATGTTTTGGCACATAATCACACTCGTGTGAGCAGAGCCGATACCCAGACCCAGACTTACCCCTGATGTGACCTGCTCAAACTTACATACAGCATCTGATCACCATGGCAACAGAAGGCACGTCCTATTTTATCTGTCCCCCCCTCCCGCCCCATCAGTGGAGAAACTATGGCAGAAATATCTGCAGACCTTCGACTGACAGTCAGTCTCTTTAAGTCATTTAGACCCCCATCTTTGGTCAAGATAAAAAAAAAAAAAAGCAAAACAAGAACTACCCTTACAGGAAGTGATGCACAGCTGGGCTGATGCAGCTCCAGGAAATATTCACAATCATGGTGACTCTGATGTGGTTAAGACATGAATGTACAGTGGAATAATAACTTTCTTCTTTCTCTCTATTTCCAGTCAGCGGTTGGGTTTGAGTATGCCGGGAAGACGGAGAAACACGCTTCACAGAAAGGTGATGTCACACCTGTTGTCTCTCTCTGAACATCTATTTCAGCTTTTGACAGATTACCTGGAGTTCAGTTTGTCAGACTAGTCCTGAAACGTTTGAGTAATATGCTGCATGACCCAGCACGAGGACATCTGATTCAGACGACACGTTAGAAATGTAAACTTCTTGACCGTGTGCAGATTGCCTGCAGGAGACACACTGAGCAGTTTTGGCTGCAGCACACACACTCGTGTTGTGTTGATCAGAAGCTGCCTGATCTCTGCTCTGCCAGGTTCCCACTCTCCAGACGCACCATGTGAGCCTGTTAGCGGTGTGGGCTGGTGAAGCTGCTGTTTTGTGTTTGTTTCCCTGGCACAGAATGAGTCACAGAGCAGTTTGTAAGAATGAAGACAGCATCATGTGGCTTTGTTCTCCAGCACATTAGATTTAAAATGAACACTTTATGAGTGCTGTTATAATCCGGAAAACTTCCACCTGAAGGTAGAGTCAGGAGAAATGTCCGTTGCAGCATGGGCCGCTCATCGCCCCCAGAAGCTCACCCTCACTGCAGGACGTAGTGTGTACGTTTACTGCTTGTCGCTACACGCACGCTAGAACAAGCTAACCGCCGGTGTTTGTCACCTTCCTGTCCAACAGGAAGTAGATCAACTCCACGTCCACGGGTAAAACACAACACAAGGTTCACCCTCGTTTTAGAACGAGCTTTATCCGCTTGGTGTTTCTCCTCACTCTGATTATATTTTCTCTTCTTGGACACTACGTCCACGTCCAATCACTAACTTGTATCCACTCCTAAACTCACCTGCTGCGCTGTCATTGGCTGGAGGAAACACACCAGCTCCGCCCAGAAACGTCCCGAATCAACCAGAACAAACCAGAACAGTAAAATCCAGTCAGAGGACAGAGTCTCTGCAGACACAGTCACCACCACAACATGTACGGAGGCCCAGAAGGGACGATGGAGCAGCTCTACTTTAGGAGAAGTCTGTATTTTATTTTGAAAGAGAAAGCTGCTGACTCTGCCTTTGAATAAAAATCTGTTATGTCACTATCTTCTGCAGAATAAGTTTAACACAGTTGTGATTGAGTTGATGTCCCGTGGATGAAAGTCTGCTGCATTTGTTTTATCTGGTTGTCCGGTTGGTTTTCCTGCAACCTGCAGTTACCACTCATGACCACATGTGTCGCCAAAGAGCACCAAACTGAGATCTTTGGTGTTTACACCCTGTAGTCACTGTTACATTAGAGGTCCAATGTGCTGGAGTAAAAGCAAAACAATACAACACACTGCAGACTGAGGTTTGACTCGTAGTGACCCCGCTGCCCTGAGAGTTCATGTTGCTTCTTAGCTTTTAGTGTTTGTTAGGCTGCCTTTTCATGTCGGCATATCATCATCACCTTTTGTTTTGCTTTCATCCCTCGCAAACGAGTGCTGAACATTTACCCAATTCCAGTGCTTCCTCCGTCACCAGGAATAGATTAAATGTGCAGAAAACAGGATTGTTAAGCCCTGTTCCCACCAAGCGGTTCCAAAATCACCGGTCCATACTGTCCGACATTTTTTCTACCCTTCTGTTGAAGTGCCAAGCGTACCAATCCGACCCTGAAAGGCAAACAGCTGATGAGAAAGAAGACAAGTTACTTGACGTCCCCTTCGTTTACTGTGTCATGTTTTTTTTCTACGTTGAATTTATTGGCGGGGTACACTGTGTCGCGCTGCTATGATGTCACGCTATTATGTAGCTGAGGCAGCTATCGGCGTCCGGCTTACACACGCCCCCTGATCCTTACCGGACCGCTTGGTGGAAACGGGGCACAAGTTAAAGTAAAGGAGGAATTTGGAATAGGGCTGCTTCTTTATCACTGCCTACCATGCTGCTTCACCCTGACTTTGCCCCCTCCCCCCCCCCACCCCCTGCTTTGCTGTGTAGACTACTCCACTGGGTTTGGGGGGCGATACGGCGTGCAGGCTGACCGCGTGGACGAGAGCGCTATGGGCTTCGATTACCAGGGCAAAACCGAGAAACACGAGTCCCAGAAAGGTTTGTATGGAATCCCCTTTAACCTGGAGAGAAACGGCGAGAATGGATACACACACACACACACACACACACACACACACACACACACACAGAGCGTGGTCTGACTCAGCGAGCACAGGTCCTGACAAATCCTGTTATTTTGTTTTTTCTTCCTCTTCCTTCATTCCTCAGCTTCTCGTCTGCTGCAAACAATTTCTCTGTTTTTCCTCTGGGTTGCAATGCATGATGGGATTTTTCCCCAACGACCTTAGTTTTTTAAAACACAAATGCCTGTCACAACATTTTTAAAGATACGGCACACACAGAACATCTGCCTCAGAGGAGTTTAAACACCTTTTTGGATGTAGGTGGTCGTTTATTCTCCGTCTCCTTTCATGTGTTTCTGCGGCTCCCTCCGCGTCTCAGATTACAGGGGAACGCCACCGTGTACCAGCTGGTCTGTGGCTTCAGCCTGACCCAACTGGTTTCCCCAGAGGAGTGGGATGCTTTAATTTATGTAAACTCCTTCTTTTTGTTCAAGCCTTTTGTTGTAAATATATCAGCTTTCCCTCCTGCTAACTTATTCTTTTCTCCTTAAAACACACTTCTAAAATCTCCTCAGATGGCGTTGTATGGTTTTATTTTTGTATTTCTTGCTTGTTTACTATCTACAGGCTGACAGAGCGTGCAGAAAAACACGCCGCCACGACACCTCAGATTAACCGTACAGATTCAAAACACAAACACAAGAGTTTGCTCCATGGGATAAAGTCATCTCCACCTTTTCTTGTGCTAATTTTTGCTTTTCCTCCTCCCGGCCTCCGGCAGATTACGCTAAGGGCTTTGGCGGCAAGTACGGTGTTGAGACCGACAAGGTGGACAAGAGCGCGATGGGCTTCGAGTACCAGGGCAAGACGGAGAGGCACGAGTCCCAGAAAGGTTAGTGTGACGAACGAGTCGACATCTCCCTGACTCTGCTGCTGCCGATGCTATCAGAGAGGCTAAAGGCTTGTTGAGTCCCTCCCCCCCCTCTCTCTCTATCCCCTCACTCTGTCTCTCTTTCTCTCTGTCTCTCTCCCCCCCTTACTCCCTCTCTCTCTCTATCTTTCTCTCTTTTTCTCTGTCTCTCTCTCTCTCTATCTCCCTCTCTCTCTCTCTCTCTCTCGTTTCTGTCCCGACTCGTCTGAACAGCAGAGGCAGCTTCACCTGCAGATTCCTGACTGACACACCTGTGCAGACTTTACTGCCTGGTGGGCCAACAGCAGCTGATAGCAACAGGCTGATATTGGAGGTGTTTATGTCCTCAAGCATTCCCCACAATGCACCGGGGCTTGGTTTGCAAACATGGTGCAGACTGTGATAACTGGGTCGACCTCTAACATGCACCAGTGAGAAATTTACGGGGCTTAAAGTTGTCCGGCACCGTGCTAGATGTCTGATCTGAGGCTGTGAGGACGCACTCACCCTAACAACGTTACTAGCCAATCAGAAACAGAGTTTAGTTGAGAGTGATGTCACCTGTCTGTTACTGCAGGGGGGGCCGGGGATTGGAGTCCCATCAATGGCGGTCAACATGAGCTAATCAGATGTATTGTGTTTTGTTAACCATGTTAATTTCAGCTTTTTTGAATGGGTGTGTATGTGACTTCCTGTGCTTCTGCAGCCAGCCTCTAGTGGACACCCAATGAACTGCATTTTTTTGCACTTTTTATGCGTGTCATACAGAGAACAAAAGAAACTCTCAGAAACGTGTTAATGTCGTCTCCTCTCTTCGTGCTCTGTGCGTCCGCAGACTACGTGAAGGGCTTCGGGGGCAAGTTTGGCGTTCAGACGGACAGACAGGATAAATCAGCGCTGGGATGGGACCACCAGGAGAAACTGCAGCTCCATGAATCCCAGAAAGGTACTGCTTCTGATCTGCTTCTAGAGGCTTTTATTCCCTATATTTACAGGTTTGAGGAGATGCACCTACATGGCTTCACCTTCAGCTGTAGCTTGATAAAGGTGTGACACATGAGTTAACGTCTCCTTTTTTCTGAACTTTTCCATTTATAAGAAAAATAAAAATTAGGGCCCGACTGATGTGAGTTTTGGGGCCGATACGATATATCAGCCAATATCTTTTTTAGATCTACGTTCAATCTGTAGAGATAGATAGATATGGCTATACACATTTATTGTGTTGATGGTAACTACCCAGACAAGATGGCTACCCATCTTGTCTGTCTAGTTTAGGTGGACTTACTACAATTAAGGCCAGGATAAGCGGAAGAAAATGGATGGATGATCACTGCTCGACACTACGCAGAGTGATGATGCTTGTTGTAATCCATATAGCGCCCTCTGCTGGTGAAAGAGAACTGCTAGTGTGATTACAATAAAACTCAAATGAAATGCTGTTTGACTTGTGAATAAATTGAGTAATATCGGCGCATATCTGCGATAAAATTAGCCGATACCGATTGTCACTGGATATGCTGACATCGGCCGATATTATCGGCTTGCAGATTTATCGGTCGGGTTCTAATAAAAATGTGTAGTTGGAAGTTGTTTAATGTTATTAACTCTAAAACCTTCCAACAGCAGATCCTGTTGACCAAGTTGAAGAATAACATGCTTCCTTTTGTTAAACGGTTCCACTTCAAACTGTCCTTCTTCTTCTTCTTCTTCTTCTTCTTCTAGGAGGGCTTTTAAATCCACCTCTTCTAGTCTGTCTGCTTTGAGTTCAGCACCCTCAAATCTTTCTTCCTGTTCAGCTCTGATGTGGTTTCATTGTGGCTTCGGATGTGGTCTTTCAAAGCTCGATAACTTCCCCAATCTGTGGGAGAAATAGAAGCTCTGATAAGAGGAAGTCAAAACCACACACTATGGTAGAAGAAGAAAAACACAGTTATACCGTAAAACTTCTATTAAGAGCTCAGGCTTTTATTTGCTGCAGTCTATGAAATGAGCCGGCTCTTATTTACGAGGTGACGGACAGCAAAGATGGGACACTGGCTTTTTTCCCTCAGCAGAGCGTGTTAGCTTGTTTTACAAAGTGGAGATAAAGGTGCATTAATAAAATCCACATCATGATTGAAATGTTGACCTTTGACCTGTGTCAACACCAGAGTAAAACTTACATCGTCTCACCGCGAGCCGTTTATCAACGAGCCTCTGAGTGTTGAGATTTGAGTCAACAGCTCATCAAAACAAAGCACCACACTTCAGTTAGTCCACCTTCAAAGTAAAAGCACCACACTTCAGTTAGTCCACCTTCAAAGTAAAAGCACCGCACTTCAGTTAGTCCACCTTCAAAGTAAAAGCACCACACTTCAGTTTGTCCACCTTCAAAGTAAAAGCACCACACTTCAGTTAGTCCACCTTCAAAATAAAAGCACCGCACTTCAGTTAGTCCACCTTCGAAGTAAAAGCACCGCACTTCAGTTTGTCCACCTTCAAAGTAAAAGCACCACACTTCAGTTAGTCCACCTTCAAAGTAAAAGCACCGCACTTCAGTTAGTCCACCTTCAAAGTAAAAGCACCGCACTTCAGTTAGTCTACCTTCAAAGTAAAAGCACCAGATGTTCTACAGTTGGCAAGGGGAAACTGAAATCCACTGAGTAGATAATGAAATATTTGACTGATGCAGTGTGGGACAGCAAGCGTGAGATCATGCATGATGTGTCGCGATATCAAGCGTTCGCGTGCGGTTAGGACACGGTGTAATCGAGAGCTGCCTTAATTTGTAAAAATGTGCAGCAGCACCAGGCTAGTGAAAGTTACCAGATCTTAAATATGGACAGGCTTTTATTTGAAGTTTTACGGTGAGTAGATTATAGAAAGCCTTTTTTCTTATTATTTAAAATCAAATGTTTGGTCTATTATCCTGGACCCTCCTCTCTGTCTGCTGTATCAGCGTGTCTATATGTTTGTCTGTATATATATATGTGTTTATATATGTGTCGGTTATCGTGTGTCCATATCTGTGTGTGTGTGTGTGTGTGTTGTATTGCAGACTATAAGCGTGGGTTTGGAGGGCAGTATGGGGTACAGGTGGAGAAGCAGGACCAGTGTGCCCTGGGATATGAGCACAAGGAGAGCCTGGCCAAGCACGAGTCCCAGAAAGGCACTGAAACTCCCCTGACCCCCCGCCCCAATTTTAAATCCCTGCCCCCCCCCCCCCCCCTTACCCACCCTTCTGTTTTCCTCCGAGCTTGACGCCCTGCCCTTCACACCATCCTCCTCATCCTCAGCCCTGCCTCCCTTTCCCCTATTCCCTATTACACCCCTCCCGCCTCTGCATCACCAGAAACACAAAAGATACCCTCATGTTAGCTCACATGTTTTAACGTCATGGTAAAAAGTTAAAACCACAAAAAGTGTTAACGCTAACCCCTCCCACTCTCCGCCCCCCACACCCCTCCCTCCTGCTGTTTCCAGCACGGCCATGATGTGCTTTCATTCATTTTGTGCATGTCATTGTCCCACATGCGTTTGATGAAGCTCACCTGCTGCGACCTCACAGAACCACAGCTGATCTTAAAGCAAAGATTGAGCCAAGATGGCTGCTTGACCCCCCCCCCCCCCCAAATGTCTGGCTTATATCGTATATAAGATTCTCTCCTCTTCTGCTGCGTTCAGTTTTTTTATTTATGGTTTCTCTTCTTTACAGGTTTGCATGAACGCATCCGCCCGTCCTCTGACCCTTTTTAGTTCTTCTGTTTATCACTTTGAACCAACCACAGTCTGCGTTGTCTGAACGCAGAGAGGGCTCCAATACTCACCTCTAATCTGTAGGGATTCTTTCTGTAGTGATGTCACACACTTGGAATAACAATCTGAGTCTGTCAGAGACAAAAACAACTTTTAGGGGACCCACTTTAACAGCAAGGTTACCTTTTTTCCTGCTGCTCTCTTACCCCTAAATTCCACCAGATGAGTGTTCGGTCCGTCTCTCCGCCCCGCCACATTAGCAGAGCTGATAGTTTTTTACTTTATTCGATGTGTGTGCTTCCTCTGACTCCGCTGCGTCTCAGCTCCCTCAGTCTGGAGTCCTCTCCAGCAGATTTCTGCAGGATGCCGGAGTACGGAGCATCAATTTAGCACAGAACAGATCGAGTGGGACAGGAAGTCAGACATCGAAAAAACATTAAAACATCCGGTTGATTTTCAGAATAAAACACCCAGTTTTGACGGTTCAGAAAAATGACCTTATGTTTGTTTGTTGATGTGTTTTAAATGGTTTTATACCACAAACATCTGGATATCTCGGGCTGTAGCGAGTGTAATCTATAATAACTCCGGGAACTCCTTTTGGCACTCCAGCTGTCCGGCGGTGCTGCTGAGAACGCAGCCTGTGGATGATGACAGGTGAGGAGTGCACACGTATCTGGTGGAAGTTTAGGGTTAAGCTAGTGGAGCGATTCCCAAACAGTTTGTTTCAGTAGTAAATATTTGAAAAGTGGCCCAGCTCTGAAAAAGAGTTTGAACGATGCAGACTGTGGTTGTGTGGTTTACAGAGAGCACACACTGACGCTGCGTATCTCATCTTTGTCTCCAGATTACTCTAAAGGCTTTGGAGGGAAGTTTGGCGTCCAGAACGACCGGATGGATAAGGTATGGAGTGTTACTTTGTGCGTTTGTGTTTGTGTTTGGAGAGCTCCGTCTGACGTCTTTGTCTCTACAGAGCGCGGGAACTTTTGAACACGTGGAGAAGCCGACCCCATCGTACCAGAAAACCAAACCTGTGGAAGCTGGTGAGAATTCATCGCCATCAGCTGTGTGTGAGCCAGAACTTCCACCCGTGTCTGAAATCCTCACATAGTTTCTGTCTCTTCTCATCAGCCGGCAGCAGCACAGGAAGCATCAAGGCCCGCTTCGAGAACATCGCCAGGGAGAAGGAGGAGGAGGACAGGAAGCGGGCTGAGGAGGAGCGGGTGCGTCGACAGGCCAAGGAGAAGCAGGAGCAAGACGAGGCACGCCGTATAATCGAGGCTACGCCCAGGGCTCCCTCTCCTGCTCCTGCTCCTGCTGTGAGTACCGTCCCCGTCCCCAGCCCGACCCCCAGCCCGACCCCGGCCGTCCAACCAGCTGCTGCTCCAACACATGAGGTGAGTCGGGACGTCTCTCTGACGTAAGCAGGAAGGTTGTGGAAATACTTTGATACGAGGCAGATGGGACGTGTAGATAGATCTATTGCATGAAATGTAAACAGCTGATGTTTTGTCTTGTTAGAAATCAGAGGAGCCGTATTACGATACCACAGAGGAGAACGGCGAGCAGCTGTACGAGGCGGAGCCACAAACGCAGCAGCAGCAGGAGGAGGAGGAGCTCTACCAGAACCCAGACGAGACCGCAGCAGCAGGAGGTGAGCATCGTTTTTTATTAAGTGATGGTGCTGACTTCTTTCTTGTGTGTAATACCTGACACGCAAGATTATATAAGATTTAAAGGTCCAATCAGTGAGATGTGTAGTGAGTGAGATGATAAAGTGAGCTTACTATATGATCAGACATTAAGGAAACATGATGTGTTGAAGTGCTTCTCTGACAACAATGCAGCAGCCAGTATGTCCTCCTTCTAACTTTAGATTCTGCTCCTGAATGCTCTGGATTTGTTTGGACCAGAGAAGGTAGGCGGTTTTAAGGCACCCTCACATGGCCGTTTTGGACGCCCCTCGGTTTGCCAGATATGAGAGCAGTTATCAGGTCAACAGGTGTTGCAGCGATGGAAGCGGGCAAGAGAAGTGGTTCAGATAGAAGTGATTGTACCCGACCTAAAAAGCCTCTGCATGTTTCTAATGAGCTCCACGAGCAGAAACGTGCTCAAACTAGGATCGGGGGGAGACAGCTCTCTACAATGTTTAGAATTTAGACTGCAGTACCCATTTTAAACACTAGGGGTCAGAGTTACATATTATTAACTACTCAAAAACCACTCGTGAATCTTTTCGTTGATTGAACACTGAACATATTAACCGTCTTTGAAGATGTAGTGATGCAGGACGTCTGCACACTGAATTCCTTGTTTTCATATTTTCTTTTTGTGAGATTTCTGATTTCATGTCCTCAAACTGTACTGAGAAGTATCCTGTAGCCCCACAATCAGTCCTCAGTCAGTTCACCTAGATCACAAACAATCCTTTTTTTTTCTTCCTCTGACAGACGGCCAACAGTACGACTATGGCGAGGACCTCGGGGTGACGGCGGTCGCTCTGTACGATTACCAAGCAGGTGAGAGACTGAGAGCTGTGACTCGGACTCAAAGGCCCTGCGCTTTAAGAGTCTGCAGAAGGACTCAGAAACTTTTTCACATCATTTTGGGGAATTGCTGAAACGTGGCCCAGCTTTGTGTCTGTGCTGCTTTCTGACAGATGCACCAGGATCACAACCCAAAAATGATCATCAGGTGCACGCTTGAAAAAAGTATTTTTGGCAAACAGTCACAAGCTGCGACAAGTTTATCCTCCTCCAACACGGAGAGCAGCTCGAGAAGCTGGTGATGTCTTTGTTCATGTCATTCATCACCTTCTGTTCTCCTCCCTTTAATCAATCTGTCTTCCTGTTTCAGCCGGCAACGACGAGATCTCCTTCGACCCCGATGACATCATCACCAACATCGAGATGATCGATGAAGGCTGGTGGCGAGGCGTCTGCAGAGGCGCCTACGGCCTCTTCCCCGCCAACTACGTGGAGGTCCGGCAATGATTGACGATCCGTGTCCCTGTGCAAGAAAAAAAAAAAAGAAGAAGAGAGCGAGAGAAAGGATACGTTTTCAAACCCCTCTTTGTCCTTTTCATACCCCGATGATTTCTCTCCTCACCTCATTTTAGCGCTTTAACTCCGGCTTTTCTTTCCCTCCTCCTCCTCTTCCAAAAGTTTCTCTCCGCGCTGCAGGACGAGGTCGACGACTTATCCCAGAATGGATTAACACTAAGAGAATATTTAGACTTCATTATATAGATTAAAAAAACAGACGCAAAGCGTCGTCACAGTCAAAGCTCCAAAATGCAGCTCGGACGTGGAGATGCATTTTGCAGCTTTTTATTTTTCTAAACACGGTGTTCGAGTGCGATCAGGTTCTTCTTCACACATGCTAGAGGAGAGTTTTTAAGTCTCACCAAAGACCAGAAGGAGGGGGGGGCGGAGGCTCACTGCTGAGTAGCTCAACCTTCATGTAAGCAAGAGCAGACTGTGGGTGATATTGTTTGGAGTATTTGTATATTGAGGCTAATTCCTGACGTCGACCAATCGCTGATACACGTTTTGCTTCTCGGTGCGTCTGCAGAACGAGGATTTTAAATCTCCTGATCGACGCTTCAAGCCGTCTCCTTTTTTTCTGAATACTCACATCTGCCACAGAGCTTGTTACCAATGATTCAAATTCAAGTTTCCTCCTTTAACTGGCACTTCAGCTGCTCAGAGTAAACGGTGCCACAAAGTTTAGGACTTCCTCTCCACTGTGGGTAAATCATAGAAACGCCACAGCTCACGGCGTTGTTTGAATCATCTCCGCTCATCTTTGTACAGAGAGATCAGGATTTATGAGAATTTGTGCTCGTCTTTGTCTTCATGTCTCGCTGCCTGCGGGTTTGTGTGTCGTAACGTGTCGATGTGCACACGTGGTGAGGCACGGTGACGGAACAGCTGACATCCTCCATCAGCCGCCGAGCCGTGTGCCCCGACCTCGGAGTGAGTGACCTTTTCAAAACGAGAGGGCTTACGACGCCTGTAGACGCGTTTATCAGGCTGCTGTTAAGGGAAAAGGCTTCGTTGCTTTATTTTCTCTCCTAACACTAATTATCTCTAACAGACAGCGTCTGTGATCGCAGTAGTGTAGCTCAAACAGGTGTGAGTGTGTGTGAGTGTGTGTGTGAATGTGTGTGTGTGAGAGAGAGAGAGATTCATTAAAATCATCTTCGGGGTTTTTTAATTAAAAAAAAAAGTGACCTTTTCAAAAGCATTATTTTTATCTGTACCTCTGTTTGCTCGAGTCGCATCATTACCTGCTTGTTCTTTTTTTTTAGTTTCAATAAATAAACTATGACTTATAAATCAGTCTGTCTTTTAATGTCAACAAACAAAACACATGATGCATTACACACTTCACCATGTTTCTCTAACTCTAATAAGTGTCTCTAGTCTGTCTACAAACCCCCCAATGATGAGAAAAGTCCATCCTCTCCGTCTTTCACCTGCTCCATTTTTCAGAAAATGTGTGCTCAAACAGGCTGTTTGCAGATTTTTCCTTCATGACATCACAAAGGGCAGTAGCCCCTCCCACAGGTGGGTGACACTCCCACAGCTAGGTGTTTGTTCTGCCCTCTGAGTCTGCCTTCTCACCGTAAACAATAGGACATGGAGCGAGAAAGCCAGAGACACCCAAGCCCTTCCAGAGAGGGGGCGTGGTCAGACACAGCTCATTTACATATTTAAAGGTACAGACACAGAAACAGCCTGTTCTGAGCAGGGCTGAAATAGAGGGGTTTATAGACATGATCAAATACAGGATCAGAGTGGATTGAGGAGCTCTGAAACTTATTTAAACTAATTGAAGAGGAGGAGGATATTTGACCTTTAAATAAAATACAAGAATTGTGTAAATGTTTTACTGTTTCCTGTAATAATGGGACAAAGTTCATGCAGATCCTGAAGACATGAGCAGTGAAAATTAACCCTTCAGTGCCCTCTGGTGGAAAAACTGAATTATGCATCTCTGAGCTGAAGTAGATAAAGTGAGTCAGGCTTCAACTACAAACAAATACACCAATAACCTTTTTAACGATTACAGGTAAATTGAGAAATAGGTGCTCTCTTAGTGATAATGGGCATAGACAGACACTGAAATGGATTAGGCCCAATCATTGAATCCAGTCAGACTTTGTGTAATCATCAACACCATGAAATTAGCATCTGTGTGTGATAAACAATAAGACATTCTTTAAAAGTATGACACCTACAAGAGAACATTTCTCTGTTCCCTCCTCAGCTTGAGAAACTCTTCATCCTGCTAAAAGTCCTCCTCACAGTTTAACACCTAGACGATCTTTAAAAGGTCTGGTCTGAACTTTAAGGGAAAATTCTTATAAAATGCCCCGAGAATTTTGTCACTCGGTGCAACTCGAACTCGAATGCAGATACATGCAGTGCACAGATTTACCACCAGGGGGCAGAAAGCATTTCATCATAGGACTTTAGTGCAGCACATGAAAAAGGGAAACATCACTTCAACATCTCTCTCCACTCGTTGACTGAACAAGAGGATCAGAGGACAAGATAAGAAGCAATAGGTCCCAAAAGTTATAAAATGCAATTAATGTCGATTTCAGAGTTTTTAATGAACGCAGATCAGAGCCACTGGACTACGACTCCAAGTGAGCACGCTCTGTGGGCTCAGGAACGAGGAAGATATAAGAGCACAGAAATGAAATATACAAGCATTTTATTTTGACACAGAAAGCAACTCCAGTGAATTTCCTTTGAATGTGTTTACATCCCGAGCTGGAACAGCTGATTTAACGAGGTACGATGCTGAAGATCTTCAGAGATGATTCTGGTGTGAACATGCGGACGTTAAGGACAGAGAGAGGGAGACGACACTAGTGCAATATTATATTTATTTCTTACAGTGAATTTTGGTTGCCATACAAGAAATCTTGAGGATTTGAAAGGGGGGGGAGGGGAGGGGGCGGGGCTTAAGAGTGCAGTTACAGGAAAATTCTCTCTCTTTTCATTTCAGTAATTAGTCGACTCTATGATGATTCAGTAGCACAAAATTACAGCAACATAGAAAACATGAACACAAGTCTTTGCACAAATTACTGAGAAAACATTTCTTAGCCTCTATGAAGACTTAAAGAATAAAATCTATTGATGAGGAAAATCAATTTAAGAAAAAGAAACGATGATGAAGGTGGGAGCAGTGTTTCAAAGGGGGGGGGGGGGGGTGGCTGGGTGGAGGTGGGGTTAGTGAGCCATGCCTGGTCTAAACACGGCCTGGTGAAAGCTCCACGCCATGGCGAGGCTTTGAAAGATTCTTCTACATCTACTCAGATCTACAACAGAGAGAAAACTGTCGGTGACTGAAGGACGGCCACCGCTAATCTTTTTGGCGGCGTTATGTTTGTTTACATTTACATAGGTTTCATATATTTCTACCAAATGGCCTCTTCTTTTTTTTTCTTTTTTTAATTTACACTTTTTTTTTTGCTTGTTTTTATACACACACTCTAGATTGAGGGATTTCAGGGGATGAGAGTCAGGCAGACGGTGGTCGTCAGAAGATTTCTGTACGGTGGCCTGAAAGGGAAAACGCACTGAAACGGTGAAGGTCGAGATGTGCTCGGGTGGTCACATCGGCTCGAGGTCCATCGCCTGCGTTTGTATGCTGATGTAAGCACGCTGTGATTGGCTGTCAGAGAGTCGGAGAGAGAGATCGACGTCTCCTCATGAAAGAGGAAGAAATCAAACACACACAGCATCCAAAGTGCCCTAAAGCAGTGGTTCTCAACTGGTGGGTCGGGACCCTGAGGTGGGTCGCAGGGCCTTTTTCGTTAGGTCAAGAATGTGTGGCTGGAAAAAAAAGTATTTGAAGTGCTTTTTAAACATGTTTGTTTTGTTCAGTTTCTTGCTTCTGTCACGTTTTTTACCGACTGATGTCCAAACTGCACAATTTTTCAGTAAATCAATCTGATTGGTCGAATAAATTGGGTCGAGGTTCTTCTCACGGAGGAGTTGGCGGTGGGTCCTGAGACTAGTCAGTGGAGAACCACTGACTTAAAAGTTACACGGTTGATGAGAGTCCCTGTCTGAACATATTTACACGGCCACTCTTCAATGTTTGTAATGACGCCACCTGCTGGTGACAGACAGTAAGCCTCGTTTAACATCAAATGTAGGTTGCACCATGTGCTCTAACTTCTTGTTGTGACAGTTTGTCGTTCATCCATATTCTCCGTCCGTAGACCAGTGAAAACTACATCTGTAAACTCTCCGACCAACAGCCAATCACGATGTGCTACATCATCACACAGTCGATCGTACTGTGTGACGTCACTAGCAGATGCGGGACCCCGAGCAGATGTAAACACCCGAGCAGATGGCACAAAAGAGTTCAGTCAGGAAAGTTCACGACGTTCACCAACAGAGACGAGCTGAAAATACAAAGACGGCTGCAGAAAGCCGAAAGAAATGAATACTTCAGCAGGCTGCAGGAAAACAAGTCCTTTAAAAAGATCCAAATAAAGAAAAATGGCTGCACTTCCTGTTTGGTTCTCACCATGACAGTAAGAGACTCTTTTTGTCGATCTTTGCATGATACATGCGTCTGTGCACGGAGGTGAAACGACTACAAATGGTGATTTTTTTCACCAAGAGTATAAGGGGGCGCTATGGAGCCATTTTGCAAAACCAAAAAAATCAAAAAATCTTCACATGGCCTGATGCGTGTGCAAAAGTCAGTGAGTTTTGGGGGCATATCACAGCCCTCGAATAATCAGTTAAATCCAGAGATAGATTATAAAATCAATTCCTTGCATAAATGCTAAATCTTATCCTTCATTAAATCAAAATGCGTGAGTTATTAAATAAAAAAACAATGCGCTCTGATTAAGACATTAACCAATCAGAACAGAATCGTTTTTGAACCAGGCTATGAACATTTTAATTTCTGCTGTCAAAACAGACATTTTAACGTAAGGTGTGTATGGGACATTAAGGATCTTTCACATCCAGCCTCTAGTGGACACTCAATGAACTGCAGTTTATTTTACATTTCCACATTTGCTTCATTCTTAAAACTGGAGGATACCGCTTGGTTCACACCTGAAAGCAGTACAGGAGGTTTGAAATGAGTGTCTTCAAAAATGTTTCACCAACATCCAGTTCCAACAAGCGCCCCCTACAGGCCTGGAGCCTTTCCGCTGTGATATCTGGAGATATAAAGCATTTTTATTCTGCGTTTGTTTTGAGTGTTTTTGATTTTGCATCTTAATTAATTATTGACGTTTCCTGCAGCACATTTCTCTTTGCGTTTGCAGCTCGTTCCGTTGTAATTGTTCTAGACTTTTGTGGGTTTTTTTCAACGTGCTTTCATCCTGAAGTTGCCGCCCGTTTCTCTGTGTGACGATGATCTCGCCTGTTGCAGCGTGTTTGCCCTCGCTGCCAACCGTACACCTTGGGATTCACTTGATTGGCCAAAATATCTTACACTGCAGTAGTATCTACGTTAGGCAACACTTCAAGAAAACACTGACAAGTGAACGCATCATGATATGTAACTTCAAAATGGGAAAAATAAAACACAACCAAGGAGATTCATTCAGAATAAATATTGCTTCTTACATAACCCAGAAGTCTAATAATAATCACATTTTTATCTATATAGTATTTCTCTTTTTTTTTTGGCAATCCACGCATGAGTGTCTTGTTCGGATAACCTCTATAAAATTTCATAGAACTCTATACAAATCTTTAAAAATACTGTGCTTTTCTATCCCACGGCCGACGCGTCGCTGTTTGATTTAAAATATGGAACAGGATAATAGCAGCATTGTCCCGCGCAGGCTGCCTCCGTACGGCTGAATGTTCACAGAACACAGAGCTTGTGTATGTTTCATTAGTCTCCTCGAGAGCTGCACCTCAACATGAAGCCGCGGAGTGCAATATGAAACCAAATAAAGGTGTTTTAAAATCTCTCTCTGCAGACGTCGGGTTAGCGTGGAGCACATACTGGATCGTCCACACGTGAGGCGTGCTCTGAAAGAATCTACTTTAAAATACGACACGAGCTGTACGAGCGACAGTGGTGCAGAAAGGTGGAGGTGAAGGGAAGGGGGAGGGGGCCTGTGAGCTATTTAAGGCATCCTCTGCAGGATGATTGGAGGAAGTGGTGGTGGTGGGGGGGGGGTGAATCCACTGCTTTGGTCCTCAGGTCAGCTCTGGCAACAGTAGATCCTCCTTCATAGATAATCTAAACCTCTTAATAGAGCTATACATTGAATCAAATATCCTCTTAAACACTCTTATATACACACAGTTCAACACATACTGTACTTCTACTTCTGACCAGCCTTTAATCGTCACTAGCAAACACGTACACAGCATCTCCAGCTTTAGAAATGTGGATCTGGTTTTCAAATCTGGACTTTAGAAAACATGTTTGACCGCGGTGTGTCCTTCAGGAGCTGCAGCGGAGTATGAAACGTAAAACTCGGAGAAACTCACATCCCACCAGAAATAATTTCTATCACTTTGTAATCTGAAAAACATCTGTCGGCTTTGTCATCTCATTCTCTGCTTGTGTTTCTGACATAAAACCCTGACGCTGCAGATTCTCCATCTGCTCGAAAAAGCCGATGGTCGTGCAGATTTCACGTCATCAGGATGAAGACGACCTCCTGTAGCGGCTGCTCAGTTTAGCTTCTGCAGCCTCCTTTAAGATAAAATAAAACAGCTCCACGAAGGCTGCGCTGCTCACAAACTTTACGTCTCCTTTAACGCTCTGCTTCCAAGTCCAGTACTGGACCCAAACCACAGACCTGCTCCTCCTCACAGCGCAGTTTGGTTGATTTTGGATCTGGTTGTGTTTGAGCTCCAGTTAGCTTCAGTCTCCGCTCTCGTTTTAAACGAAGAACGGTGTATAAAACAGGTCGGGTCAGTCGATAGGCTGGAATAGAAACGTTATAAATTCTGAGATTTTTTTAAACATCAACCTGTGAGTTAGAGATCTTTAATATCAGGACACTAGAAGGTCGTCCGTTCATGTTTTGACATTTGTTGGAAGAGTTCGATGAGAAGATTGAAACCGCTGATTGAGTCAGAAATAAAGTATAAACTCGAAGGTGAGGATAATTATCTGCACTTATAAACCGTATGCACGTCTTTTAAAGAGAAGCTAAATTGTTTCCCGCTGAAAGCCGATTGGTTTAGGGATGTTACTTGATGCAGTTATGTTGGCTACAAACGAGAAGATTTTCAAATCTGAACCGATTTTAAAAACGTTAGAGACCACAAACATGAGGTCAGTTTAACAGATGTTTAACATCATAATCCTCCTCATGATTTCACAGAAACTCGAGTGATCAAATGTGACTTCAGAGGAAAAACAAAGATGGAGGACGATGGATGTCGTCAGCTGGCTGTCGTCAGCTGGCTCTCCGGGCGTTTTTTTGCGGAAATTAACAAATTCCACTCGGCATGGTGCTCAGGTGTGCTTATGTTGTGAAGCTTCCCGGTTTGCTCGCTCTCATTGGCTGTTTCAGGAAGAAGCAGCCTGATCTGGAATCATAAATATCAAACATGTTGGACGAATATGATTCCAGATCGAGGCGGCTCTGACTCCATCAGGAGCAGTGAAATCATCGTATTGACATGACACACTTCAGAACAAATAATCGGTTGACTCAGGCCACGCCCCCTGATCATTAGGTGGGGGAAATTTTGACCTAACATCGTCTCATGTGCAGCCAGCTGTTGCCTCTTCGTTTCCACATGATGTGACACAGCTTCTGAAGAGGAATGAGAAACAAACACCAAAAGAAGATCCCTCACAAACAGATTGTGTTTGTAAATATCAATGAGCGTCTGACCGAGCCAGACTTCCTGCTTCCTGTCTTTATGCTAAAATAAAAACTCGACTCACACATGAGAGCATCAATCTTCTCATCTCACTCGCCGTCCAGAAAAAGTCAACAAGCCGATTCCTCCCCCAAAAATCTAACTTTTCTCTTTTAAACAAACCATGCAATTCTCTCGTTAAAAAAAACATCAACTTCTACCACGTACGCACGGGGTGTGTGATACGTCAGCATCACTGTGGGGCCGCGTTAACGCCGAGTGTCGACCTGCTTAAAGTGAAGTGGAGGGAGCGCTGACACGATGAGAAAAGAAAGAAAAGAACAGCTCTACTTTCCCTACAGGCTGGCCTATTTAACAGATCCGTGGAAAGAGATAGACTGGCCTTAATCATTCGGGTCAACCATTAACACACACACACACACACACACACACACACACACACACACACACACACACACACACACACACACACACACACACACACACACACACACACACACACACACACACACACACACACACACACACACACTGAAGTAGAGGGAAGAGCCAAGTGTGCCCTTTGCAGACGAGAAGCTGGTTGAACCGTCTCAGCGTCCGTCTCGTACCTCGTGTGAAGAGGTGGACACTGAGTGGGCGTGGTCTGCTGCAGCGTAGCTCCTCCTCCTCCGGTGACCACCTCTCTCCATGCTTTGCTCTCTCTCTGGAGAAGAAGGCCATCGGCGTATCCGTGTGTGTATACATGCTCGGGTGTGTGTGTGTGTGTGTGTGCAGACAGTGTGTGTTCTCGTTTATTCTCTGTGCATACCGTGTGTGTGTGTGTGTGTGTGTGTGTGTGTGTGTGTGTGTGTGTGTGTGTGTGTGCGTGTGCACGTCATGAGATATTGTTTCATATTCCTTTAAACATGTCATCTAATGTTCTTATTTTGACACAAACAGGTGAAAAGCAAGAAAAATGAAGTCTATCGCAAATTGTTCTCTACAACCTTAGATGCACCCAGAAATATAACTCCGGTAGGACTCTAGTGAAGAAATATTATTCTCTGAACAAACTCTAGCAAAGATAGAAAAGGAGCAACAACCAGCTCAGCTGGTTTTCATGCACCCACACCGGGGTGCACGGACAAAGTCTTTAGTATTCCAAAGCGGTTGGGTGAGCACGAGTCTCTAAGAGAAACTTCCAGATGAGTGTTTCTTTCAGAGTTTGAGTTCAAACTATTCCAGAGTTTTAGTTTCAGTCCTTTGTGCTGGCCTCCTCTGCTTACACTCTCCTTGATGTGACATAGCAGCTATTCTCTTTTTCCCCAACTGTCCCGCCCGACATCCCATGATCCCCTGGTGCTCAGGGCGGGGGGGGGAGAGGAGGAAGAGGGTGGATAACACCGGTGCACTGGATGAGGGCGACGGAGGATGAGAGAGGACAAAAACAGCAAGAGGCAGCATCAGCTTGGACAAAACTTCTACCCAGATCCACGACTTGAGATAATGTCTGATGAAGAGTAAAAGTGATCGGTAACACCTCCCTCTCCTCGGCCCTGACTCCGCCCGCCTCCTCGGGGCTTATCTGTCCTGCAGCAGCTTGAGGGCCCTCTCGATGTTCATGCGGTGGCCGACCCTCGTCACGCCCAGGTCGATCAGGTCCTCTTTCTGCAGGGATGGCAGGTGTGCGCCCTCGATTTCATTGTCCAGGAAGGCGTCTTTGTGCTCCCCCAGATTCAGGCTCTCCAGCCAGTCGGCCACGTCGTGCTTGTTCCAAAGCTCCATGGGTTTGGAGGCGAAGGGCTTCCCCGAGGCCGCCACCGCCTGCATCAGCGTGAGCGGCGACGGGGAGCGCGAGCTCCCGCTGCCGCCGCACGAGGAGCTCAGGCTGTAGCCGCCGCCGCTGCCCATGGGCGGGGTGGGCAGGCCGAAGACGTCGGTGAGGGTGGGCGACACAGAGGGTGGCAGTGAGGAGCAGGGCGTGAGGGAGGAGGCGGAGTCTGGCGGGCTGCAGGGGTGTGTCTGTGATGGGAGGCTGCTGGGAGGGGTGGAGGTGAGGGCAGAGGCCGCGTTGTTACGCATTCCTGAGTCTTCTGTCGGAGGCCTGAGGAACACAAAAGACAAAGAAAAGATCAGGTCGGATATATTTAATTTTTAACCTCAGATGATCTTTCAGCACGGGGCGAGCTGAACGCCATCTCTGAACGACATGTTCCATAACCAGCTTTACACCTCGTCTGATTATCTGATTATCTTAAGAGGTTTTCTGCTAATGCGGACATCTGAGCTGTCTTTCTGTCCCCTTGGTGAATGAAGTCCTCCAGATATCGAGAGTCCTGAGAGTCGGGGACGTTATCAGAGCTGACCTCTGCAGCAGGAGGTCGGTGAAACTGGAACAGAGCGTATGAGGGCGAACGGTCGATGAAGATGCTGCGCCCGTTGACAGAATCAGAAAGTAGATATTTAATCAGAAGACAAACCAATCAGACGTAAAGATGACCTGGCAGGTCACCTGACATTGAATGGTTCCTGAACTGAAACCAAAAAGCTGCCCAGAGGGTAAAGTACTTTTTCTGAACACTAGGTGGCGTACTGTGATGTGGTGCTCTAATGGGCTCACTGGAGTCATGATGAGAAAGATCTCTGTTCATTAAACTTAAACTTCAGCGGTTCATCAAGTCACTGCTGCGAGGACGTACACATGTAATGCTGCTAAATGACCACAAGGTGGCGACTCTTCCCTGGTTAGACTTAAGGCAGGACGGCTGGTTTTCTGTGAGTCTCTGTTCAGACCTTTGAGCTACATGAGCTTCATACTTTGAGATATTTGTACACATTTGTCCACTTGTTATTTATTATTATTAATTTTTTTTTTTTTTTAGAGATAGATAGATATTGATTTATTTTTGGGCTTTTTGTGCCTTCAATGGAGAGACAGCACAGTGGACAGAGCCGGAAAATCAGGGAGAGAGAGAGTGGGGAATGACAGGTCGGATTCAAACCTGGGCCGCCCGCTCGGAGGACTGCAGCCTCCATACATGGGGCGCTCTAACCACTGTGCCACCCTGTTCTTGTTATTTGTTATTTATTAAATCTCTCTCTGATTCATCGACTCACAATGTCACGTCTCTAAACATGGAATCTGAAGTCTGAAGATGAAACACAGTTTGGAGTTCCACCACTAAAAAAGGTAGGAGCTTGTATAAAGTGAACAATTACATTTTATAACATCAATTAAACTTTACAAAGTCAAGACCAAACCAACAGAGAGCTCCAAGACCTACAACTGAACTGAAGGAACACAAACTGGGGATTCATTTGACGTAAGAACATCGTGGAATCATCTCAGACTCGTCCATGCTGAAAATAAAAACAGGAGGCAGGAAAGTTTCTCCGACACAACAAATCCAACCACAGCAAATAAAAACGCTCCATCCATCACATTACCTGCTGGCTCAACGTGGAGGGATGTGACGGATGTGCTGATATTCAGAGCAGAAACACACACACAAACACACACACACAAACACACACACACGTGCAGAATAAACTTCCCCTCAGGATCCTGTCTGTTGATTTTCATCCTCATACGGATCTAAACGTCATTAAGAGTTGTTCTGATGACTCAGAGGGAGAAAGTCTGACCTCCAGACTTTCAAACACTTACTTCTTCTCTCGTTGTGTCGTGTGGCAGCCTAGATATTTCTCCCTCCTCATTGTGACATATGGGACGGCCTGAGGGGAAGTGAAGGGGGGAACAAAAGGAGGGTCGCTCTGCCAAAATGGAAGTGGGCCACCGTCAAAGTGCCCCCCCCCTCCCCCTCCCCCTCCCCCCCGGCATCTCACACACAGAGACTGAATCAACTTACATACAAGCTTTACTTTTCAACAGCGGCTGCTCCACAGGAAGGTCATGATGGATGGAGGAACGAGGAGGACACAGAGGATAACATTAGACACATGATGAAGACACACACATGATGAAGACACACACACATGATGAAGACACACACACATGATGAAGACACACACATGATGAAGACACAACATGATGAAGACACACACATGATGAAGACCACACACATGATGAAGACACACACACATGATGAAGACACACACACTGATGAAGGACACACACATGATGAAGACACACACATGATGAAGACACACACATGATGAAGACACACACACACGATGAAGACACACACACATGATGAAGACACACACATGATGAAGACACACACATGATGAAGACACACACACATGATGAAGACACACACATGATGAAGACACACACGATGAAGACACACACACATGATGATGAAGACACACACACATGATGAAGACACACACATGATGAAGACACACACATGATGAAGACACACACATGATGAAGACACACACGATGAAGACACACACATGATGAAGACACACACACACACACGGCATGAACAGAAGGAGGGACTGCATGCCTCAGCCTCTACTTTCACGTCTGCACAAACTCTTCAACCATCTTCAGAAGACAGAAACACTTCTCTCACATTAAAGACATTTCTTTAAACTCCTCCTGCATGAACAGGAGTCGTCTGTGAGTTTCTTCTTCTACTACTTCTTCTCATCGTTCTCTTTGGTTCTTCTTCACCAACCCTCGCTCTGCTCCGGCTGCACAACATTTTTATTCAAATTTTCCCGTAATGACAAACACACTGGACACCCGAGTTCTCACTCTGATTTCAAACAGAAGCACCGATGCTTCACAACACTTGACCTGAGTCGAGTGTTTGGTGTCCTGATGTTTTATCGTCTACTAATCACTTTTTATATCACGAGTTAAAATTGATGTGAAAACTATGTAATTGCTTGTTAGCCTAATTAGCACGGCGCCCCGCTTAGCTCCTCTGACCTTATTAACGGAGAGTCACGCATAACAAAGAGGACAGAGCTGTTGTGAGCTTCTCTCTGTGCAGGACATCAAGTCTCATTACTGCTGTGTTTGTGTTTCAGAGAAACAGGTAGCATTTATTTAGTGATTAGCTGCGCCTTTGAAAGCTGGATGTGTCCTAAAAGCTCCAAAAAATGAAACAGGAAGTGATGAAAAATGTAATAAAACACCAAAAGGAACAAACTGGATAGGTCATGTTTCATGTAGAGAGAATAGATATGAGTAAAAAAAACAAACAAAGCAAACGTCCAGTGTTAAAAACAGAAGTCGATGTGGAAGTGGAAGTGCAAAATCCTGCAGTTCCTGGAGTGTCCACTAGAGGCTGAGCTGCAGAAGCACAGGAAGTCACATACACACCCATTCTAAAACGCCAGTTTTTACAGCAGAGATTAACATGTTTACAGCCTGGTTCAAAAAACCAAATAGGTGTGATTAGCTCATGTCTCGATGGACACACTCGATCCTGTCTCCAGTTCTGCCTCAAACTGACATTTTCAAAATGTTCTGATGCCAACTGCCAATTTCCAAACATCACGTTCAGCGGTGCACACTATGCAGTAGTTCGCTGTCACTCTGTTTAATACTGCTGTTTCCACATCCTGCGTCGTGGGCCGGCAGCGCCGCTAAGCTCTGCTCCGTTTTAAATACGCTGCGAGTCTTTTTTTGACGGAGTTAGCTGAAAGCACGCGTCAAGCTGGACAGAATAGGTCGACTCGGACAGGAAGTCAGACAAGGAAACTCACAGAGCGTCCAGCCAATTTCAAAATATGTGGATGTTCCATCACTTTATCAACATTATGTCAGCAGGCACGGACTATGTGGAAATACGCAGTTAAAACAACAACTCTTCCTCCTTCAGTTGTTTCAGAGTCGATCTAATAGAACAATAACCTCCAACAGGGAGAATGGCGTCTCTCTCGTGTCCACAGAACCCCCGCTCGCCTGTTTTCAGCACTATGTAACTTTGTCAGCGTGTCGAGGTCGTCTGGTGAGAAGTGCGTTCGTCTTTACGGCGCTAGTTCACACAGCAGCCTTCAGCTACAAAGCAGCCAGTTGGCCCGTCTCTGTACTGTTTGATACGACGACTGAGGCTAAGAGGACGGAGACGATGACGATGAAGATAAGAAGAGAGAAAGAGAGAGTGAGCGAACAAGAAGCGGGAAGACTATTATACCTTATAGATGCAGTCTGACAAAAAATATACCAAACCTGAAAATATAATCAAGTCCAGTCCACTAAATTCAAACCAAAACATAATCACAATCACAATCACAAAATATGAAAGCTATGAAAAAAGAGCTTTAAAAATGTAGGAACAAGCTGAGGGTGAGCTTTGAAAAGTGCAGAGAGAAACTTAAAGTTCAGAGTTCAGACGCATTCTGCAGATACACACACACACACACACACACACACACACACACACACACACACACACACGTAAGGTTAGCACGTGGCGTTCATCTCAGTGCTGAGTGAAGCTGTGATATCGATATAAGAGGTGGGAGACCTTCATCGCCTTCATGGCGCCCACACACATCATCATCACATGACTGCCCGCTTCTACAACACAAACCAGCACACACACAATCCGTTCATCGGCATGCACGCACACGCTGCCGTTATTTATAGAAACACACAAACACACGCACTGACTCGGCTGTGCCGTCTTACATAACGGCGACCTACTAAAGCAGCGCGGCACGTGACCTGCGTGAGATGATGTTGAACTCTGCTGAGGGTTAGTCCTGCCACCACACACACACGCACACACACACACGCGCGCACACACCCCCCTCCCCCGACTCAGACTGACATCACTGCAGGCCTCAAGGCTGCTCTCATCCTACGGTTGCTAAGCAACCCTTTCGTCCACAGGCACAACCAACGCACATTTAATCTGGGAAGCTAAGAGACGGGGATAAAAAAAAAAAGAAATAAAATAAGACAAAAAAAAAGCTACAAATGTCCAACAGAGAAAATCTGATGATCCCGACATCGCCGAGGCTGATCCCGACACAGCGAGGAAGAAAAAAAGCAAAAGAGGAAGAGCACGAGGGAGCAAAGGATGAAGGGAGAGAGAGAGCATGTGTGAATCTAGGCCATCTTCTGTGCCTCTCTGTTGCCATCTGTTTGTCAGGATCAGAAGCAGGAGCACCTTTCCC